GTGGGGAAGCCCTTGACGCCCATGGTGCCGCAAAAGGCCTTGTTGGCGTCGTCGTCGCAGTCGACGGCGGCGACTTTGGCGAGGCCGTCGAGGTTCTTGGCGGCCTTTTCGTAGGCGGGCTTGAGGTTTTGGCAGTGGCCGCACCAGGGGGCGTAGAATTCGACGATCTGGAAAGTGTTATTTGTTTTGTTTTGTTCCAATCTCATTTTGTTCACTCGTGGATGTGTTGTTTTTTATGTGATACAAGCCTTTATGGTGTTTTGATGTGTATGAGTTTGTAAGCAAAACTTACAGATGTGTGATTCGACTTTGCGATGAGCCGGTCGTATGATTTGGCGTCTACCTGCAGAACAGGCGAGTTTTTGGTGTAGAAGCCAGCCTGGGCGACGGGCAGGGCCGCAAGCACGGCCGAGAGGGTGGCGAGGAGAGTTTGTTGATGCATGGCTTCTGATTTTCCGTGTAAGTTGATAGGATGAAGCCCCTTGTGAGTAAGTGGAGTGAGACTTGAGAAGAAGGCGGCCTGATGTATTAGCAGCTTCTCAAGGCCTCTTTCCCCCTTTCAAGAGGTGATGTTATACAGAAGAGAGGGCGAGACAGGATATTTGAGGAGAGGGCGAGGATATTTAGCCAAAAGGAAATGTTGCAATGTGGCTGCGATTGCTTGGCCCTTGAGATTTTATAGCTGTTTGGGCTTATGAAGATGGCCCGGACCCATGGGAATTTGGGAAAAGGCCACGCTGGAGAGAGATGCACAGTGTGAGCTGTGGCTTATGCGTGGCTTGGCGATATGTTTTTGCCTTACTTTACTTTCTGGCTGTATATATGAGTTCTTTTTTGTTTACGAGTTTAATTGTGAGAATATAATAGTTTATCAAGATTGATATGGAGTAAGCATCAAGTCTCTTAGGGTAGCGTCTAGGTGGTAAAGTCTTATTCTCAGTGTATATCATGACAACTATTTACACACAGTGTGACTTTAGCAAGGCATGGATGTTTCCAGCTTCCAAATCAGTCTCGCTGTGGCGCGACCTTGGGCGGGGCATTTCGCTGTGGCTTGTGCGTGGATGTACTCGAATCATGTATCGTCAAGGCTGCAGCTTCATGTGGGGGAAGCGCATCGTCACCTGCGATTACGTCGATGCGCCCATTTGCACAAAGAGCTTCCCATCCGTTTAAATCTTCTCCGACTTTATTCTTGCTCTTCTATTACTATACACTGCTTCAAGCACAATAAAGCAAGCAGATAATTCAATCGCTTAGTCGCAATGGCCGAGCCAATCCCCGCGCCGCTCAAGATCCCCGAAGTCAGTCGGTTTCTCAACCGCGCGAACCAGCTGCGCGCCTTCAAGCCCGCCATCTCATACTGGTGTATGTGAAATCAGAGTCCAGATATTGAAGCAGCTGTTTCTCTTACAAACTCATGCAGGCGAATACCATGCCGTCAACCAGATTGTAGGAAAGAACCTGCACACCACCGACGATGACTGCTTCGCCTTCACAAAGACGCTGCTCGAGCGCCTCGAGTCCACAAAGGCCGAGCGTCCAGATGACGACGCCATCATGGACAATACCGCAGGGCAGGCCTACGTCGAGCAGTTTGCGCAGGAGACGTTTGATCGTGCTGAACGAACCATGAAAGCGAACAAAGTGACGAGGTAATGACATACAAGTTCGTGTTGTCTCTAAGACTCGCTCTAGCTAACTGCTGTCGCGGCTAGACAAACCGCCGACACCTTTGACGCTGCCGCCACCTTCTTCGATCTCACCCACGAATGGGGAACCCCCGAGCCAGACGTCCTCCAGAAAATCAAATTCGCAAAGTGGAACGCCGCCCGCATACTCAAGGCCATCCGCGAAGGCAAGGACCCCAACGAGTCCAACCCCAAGCCCCGCGAGGTCGAAGACGAACCAGCCCTCGACCCTCTCGACCCGGACGTCCAGGAACTCACCAGCCCCCCGCCACCGCAAGCTGCCTACGTCGAGGACGCTCCCGACGGGGGCGAGCAGTCGCACCAGGAGCAGCCCGTGCAGGAAGGATATTTCCCCCTTACGCAGGCGGCGGAGCCCGACAACGAGCCCTTCGTCCCTTCGCCCATGAGCACCAGTCCTCCGCCTCAGGATCTTCCGACACAGCCGCCGCATTCTACGCCTCAGCTTCCCCCGCAATTCACTTCCTATGCGCCTCCTCCCCAGCCTCCTCAGCCCGTCAACCCTTCTGTTCCTCCTAGCTGGACCGCCCCCACGGCACCTGTCCCTCCAGCTGTCGTGTCGCCAACTCCCGTCGCACCCCCCATCGCAACTCCCATCGTACCGCCGGTTACGAACGCTAGTAGCAGCAGACCGGATCAGAAGAGTATGGCACAAGCTCAGAAACACGCCAAGTGGGCGATATCCGCTCTGAATTTCGACGACGTGCCGACCGCCGTGCAGGAACTGAGGAATGCGCTGGCTACTCTTGGCGCACTGTGAGAAAGGAAATTACTGGGATATTTTAACGCTGTACATGAGATACCTAATCGCAAAATGAAACAAAGTGTCAAAGATGAAGAAGGGGCTTTGGTTTTCTTTTTTCAGGAGTAGTAGTAATTTTGCCTATAGAAAGAGCGGCATGTTTGAGCTACCTATGCCGAGATAGAGAGAAAAGGAGTGCTAACACTGGAAGCTCTGATGTTGTAAGAATCAGAGCAGACATTGAAATAAGGGCTGCAAGGAAAGAAATTAACGAAAATAAGAATATAAAGAGTTAAAAAAAAAACAAAGCGCCAAGTCCAAATCATTCGATTCCATCGTCAAAGTCATTCCACAAGGTTTTGTCGTACACAAAAAAAGAAATCTCATTCCCATTGCTCCATGCCAATCCATGCTGTATGTATTACGCCACAACCATGATGTTGTGTGAGTTTCCGAACCCCTGGATCGGAACGCTCTCGAGTGGTCTATTCGGATCAGGCCCGGCAACAGTCGCCGCGGTGTCTTCGTCCTCATCCGCGTCCGTCCAGCCGCGCTCTGGCCCCCATCGGATAGCCACGCCATTGGTTTCACCAGCGACCTTGATGAGGCCGGACATCATGTTGCCCGTCTTCTTGACGCTGGACCAGGCGTCGAACTCGACCGTGCTCACAGCCGGCAACGCTTCGAGGACGTTGGTAAGCAGAGCGCGACTAAAGGACTCGTAGAAGCCCTCAGAGCGACGGAAGCCCTTGAAGATGCCGTCGCTGGGGTCGCATTCCACAAGGACCTTGAGCTTGTGCACGTTGATGCAGTCCTTTAGCCCGAGCGCATCGTTGACAGCCCACCCTTTAGGTGGCGCATTCCACCCCGGCCCGAGGCGCAATTCCAGGGTCGTGAGGCATTCGCGCTGGCGGGGCTTGAGGCGGGCGAGCAATGGCCGCTTGCTCTTGAAGTACTTGCCTGGGTACGTGGGGAAGAGGCGAAACGTCCGGGTGCCGTAGTAGTAGTATGTTGCCTCTTCGTGCAGCAGCCTGCAGACACGCATAAGGCCGAGCTTCTTGTGGATGCTCTTGTAGTTGTTGGGGGACAGGTCGAGGACCTCGCCGTCGTCTTCAAAGTAGTATTCGTATATTTTGACGCGCAGCTCCGAGGGCAAGGAGAGGAAGTGGAACGGCGTCGCGGGAACGCGCGGCGGCTTCTTTCGGAGCGGGATCAATGGGGTGTCGAGGGTAAGAGAAGCAATTGGTATATTGTTGATGTCATCATCGATGCTGCTGGCAGCAGGAGCAGGTGCAGAATCTTGCATCTCTTGCTCCGGAACTTGAAGATCCTGCTCTGGCGACTGGGGGTTCTGTGCCAGCGCCTGAGGCTTCTGGATCGCAGTTTGCGACTTGTTCACCACGACGTGCAGTTTATGCGCCGCTGCTTGCGACTTCTTGGCCGTGGCTTGCGCCTTTCTCGGTGCTGCCGGTGGCGGAGGCTTGGTCAGAGATGGTCGTCGACCAGAGCTCTTGGAGGGATGCTCGGACATGTTGAAATAATGAAACGAGGAGATATTATGTCGATTTTTTCGGATCGAATCTCGAGGTGCGAAGAGGAGCGGTTCAAACGGAAATTCGTTATACTGTACAGCAGACTAGGAACCCCAATCTTGGTCTTGCGCGCATGCCACACCGGCGGTTAAATAGAACGGGTAGAGTCAAGGTCGATCAATCACAACGGAACGAGGTGCCTCGTCGAGGGTGGTTCCATGGCGAGACGACAAAACTCGAGATGAACCACCCCCTAGATTGCACCAAACGCAAAAGCCATGATATTGATTGGACTGATTGGCGGTCGGGTTTCGCTTGGGCAAATCAGCCGATGTTGGAGGAATGGCGACGGTTCCAGAACGGAGTGAAACAGGAACAGAGACAGGGTCGGATGTGGTCCGAGAATCGCAGCAACAGTAAGATTACTGTACCGTAATGACAGCAATAGGAGTGAAACAAGGGTCTTCTCGCGTGAGGGGGGAGAGACAGAAGAGACGGGACAAAAGCTGGGGAAGAGGGAAACTTGAGTCTCTTGAGGTATGACAAAACCGGGAGTTCTACTGAGAGACAAGTACTCGGTACAAGTCGGAGGTTTTGGAGATTCGACATTCCCCAATTGGCACTTTCACGTGAGCCCGTCGACGGCGCGCTAGTCCACAGGCGGCAGTGAGGGGCCCAAACGGGGCAAATGCAGAAAACCCCACCAAGCGGAAGAGAACATGCCAGAATCGCGTAAACATCGGCTGAATCCAATCCCGGCAAAAAAATTCTGGATGACGGAGGCGGGTCAGTACACAAGAAGTGGGCGAGAGAAGAACGACTTTGCCTTTGCGCCACTAAAAGCGTCGTTTCTACGACTGCAGGTTACAGGCAATTCCTACTGTCGAGACACATCTGAACCAGCCAACCAGGAGCCTTGGATCCGGCGGCATCGAGATCATCGTCGAGCGACCCGGGACATGCGCAATTGAAGAGTCTCGCTTCCGTCTTTGAGGCCTTTGCACCGTCCATCCCACGATGCTCTCCAGAGTAGCTCAAGCCTCGAGGCTGGGGCTGGCGGCCAGCCGGCTACCACGAATGGCTGTGCGTCAGCCCATCCGGTTCCCAGCTGCTGCTGCTGCTGCTCCGGCTTCGCAATTCCTCCGTACCTATGCGAACAAGAAATCTAGCCCCGGAGAGACACCCAGACAAGCTCCGAAGCAGCCCTCACCCGGACCCAAGGGCCCCGCCGCAGAGGGCTCACCAGCACAAGAGGTCGACTCCTCAGCTGAACAGAAGCCCGCCGAGTCTGCTGAACCAGAACCCATACCCTTCCACAAGCTTCCCGATCTCACCCAGGGCATTCCCTCGACGTTGGAGGCCGAGCTCGAGCAGAGAGCCGGCAAGTCGCAGTCGTCGCTTACACTGGGCGAGGAGGAGCCAGCTGCTGGCGGAAGTGGAGGAGGAGGCCGCGGCCGAGCCAGAGAAGAGTATGTCTCTACCAGCGAGCGCAACCGCAAGTGGTGGACTCGCTTCATGTTGGCTGTTACGGGCTCGGGATCACTGATGGGCATCGCATACATGGGTCGTAACTGGGAGGATCCCATCGAGGCAGAGCGCCACTCCGATATTCCCAATGGATGGAGCCCTGCGCTGTGGTGGCAGCGCACCAGAGCTCGATGGGGAGAGTCAGTGTCTTACTACCAAGACCCGGCATTTGAGAAGCTACTACCTGATCCCGACCCGAGCTTCGAGCGCCCGTACACCCTCTGTATCAGTTTGGACGACATGCTCATCCACAGCGAATGGACCCGAGAGCATGGCTGGAGAGTGGCCAAGCGACCTGGAATGGACTACTTTATCCGATACCTGAGTCAATACTACGAGCTTGTGCTCTTCACCACAGCCCCCTTTGGCATGGCAGAACCGCTGGTTCGGAAGCTGGATCCTTTCCGTTTCATTATGTGGCCCCTCTATCGCGAGGCAACTAAGTATGAGGACGGAGAAATTGTCAAGGTAAGCCCCCAATTTCCATCAATGTCAAAGCAGCAGCATATCTAACCTTGTGTTCAAAATAGGATCTCTCCTACCTCAACCGTGACCTTTCCAAAGTCATCATCCTCGACACCAAAGCCTCTCACGTCCGCAAGCAGCCTGAGAACGCCGTCATTCTAGAGCCTTGGAAGGGTGATGCAAGCGACAAGGAGCTTGTCGCCTTGATTCCTTTCCTCGAGTATATCCACACCATGCAGTACTCGGATGTGCGAAAGGTTCTCAAGTCTTTCGAAGGAAAGCATATTCCTACCGAGTTTGCCCGCCGAGAAGCCATCGCTCGCCGAGAATTCAACAAGCAGCGTGCTGAAAAGTCAAAGCACGCAAAGCCATCTGGCATGGGTGCTCTTGGAAACCTGCTTGGCCTGAAGCCCAGCAAGATGAGCATGACGGTTCCCGTCGACGGAGAGCAGGATCCTACCGAGGCCTACGCCCAGGGCAAAATGCTTCAGGACATTGCCCGTGAAAGAGGTCAGCGCAACTACCAGGCCCTTGAGAAGGAGATTCGTGAGAACGGCGAGAAGTGGCTCAAGGAGGAGCAGCAGGCCATGGAGAAGGCTCAGCAGGAGATGATGAGCAGCATGATGGGTTCTTTCTCTGGCATGTTTGGCCCTAAGAAGGAGGGCGGCGACAATACCAAGGCATGAGTCGCTGTACCAGAATGAAGAAAGATAAAAAACAAAGAAAAAAAATGGTGATGGGTAGGACGCTGCGATCTTTCTCTCTCTCTCTCTCCGCTATATAATGGCTTCAACCACATAATAATTGTAAAAACACCAAAAGGGGGAAACGAAACGTGGCAAGGGTTATGGTCCTCGGATTCGTCCACCGAGAACGGGATTATTTGCATATAGAAATTTCTTCGGTATCATGGCATGGGGTCAAACGAGCCTTTTTGCTGCGAAGGGGCGATTAAGGAGGGGATGGAAAGGGGGGCGCGAGGTGATCTTTTGTGATCATATTTTTTGTATTTGCTACGAACGAAGAAGGATGAAAAAATACTTCTGTGTAACTTGACTTGTATACTAGAGGATGTATGAGATGATTGATGGATTACGTTGAAGAGAACTTGTAAGAATGTGTCTGAGTGCAAAGTAGTGATGTAATTGATGTGAAGAGCGACATTAAGTATTAGGAGGAGATAGTCGTGTTATATCTAGATCTCAGTCTGCTGTTCTTTTTCTCCTTTTGCATACTTGGACTTGATATTACTCGGGCAATCCAAACAAAAGAATGACTGCTTCTGGCTCATAGTTGAATCCTCTTCTCCTTATCCCTGAAAATCCAAAGCACACTTCATCACTTCCCCTCAACAGTCACCCCCCAAAACCCACCGCCCTCAAACTATCGCGTGAAGAAACAATCGCACGAAGGCGTCACAGAAAGCGTCACATAACTCGTCCGCGTCAAAGTCACAAACCTCGTCGTAACACGCTGCGAAGGCTGCACAACCACGACATGCGCCGTCCCATCCTCAGAGCTAGTATACGTCCCCGGCAAAAGCGTGCGATAGTCCGTGCTAAAGAGGTTCGTCGCAGGAGGAATTGGAGGAGTTGGATGAATTGTGGTGACGTTGATCCAGCAGTGATCGCAGAGGGGATTGGTGACGCATTGGAAGTATCTAAAGTTGATTGTGTTGTTAGAAGGGGTGTGATGTGATGTGTGAAGTGTGTTGTATTAGCTTAGCTTACTCGTCGCCGTTTTTATCTGGGATGCGGGTGCAGTCGCATTCGGCGCCGGGTTTGCACATGTCTGTCCAGGGATCTGAGGTTGTTGTTGGTGTTGGGAAGGATGTTGTTGGAGGGATCGGGAGAGGGATGAGATGGATTGTTGTTGGTAGAGGAGGATCGATTTCCACGCTCGTGTTGTGACGATGAGCGTGAGTGCGGATTTGGGGAAAGGAAAGGACTGTGGGGAGGTGGAAGAAGATTGCGACGAGGAGGCGGAGGAGCATCATTTTGATGGAGTTGATGGTTCGATAGGAGAAGACTGTTGGCATTGGAGCGTTCATTATCGGTGTAAAGATTTTAAAAGGAGAAGAGAAGGAGAAGATGATAATCAGGAGGGAATGGTTGGACTTTATATCTTCTTTGTCACTATGGTGATCTATATGCAAGGACTTTGAGACAAAAGGAAGAGAAGGAAGGAAAAAGTGAGTTCGTCACACGAAATCTATCCGTCCGTCAAGCTTCTCGGGAACTATATCAAGATGTTTGTTTTGCCCACGGACCAAGTTCCAGCGGATAACTGCAGCTCATCTTGATCAAACCTTGCAACACCATGATCCGGCACCGTATCAAATCGCATCGTATCAACTCGTATACCGTCAAGCTGTTAGTACTGACAAACATGCTCTTGTGTCATCAGATAATTTAGCCGGCTCAGCTCGCATGGAGAGGCACAAAGCATCGATCTTTAGTGTTACATGGTATATGCTTGAATTCTTGTATACGTTACTCGGCAGCGGCAAACACGAGATGAGGATCTTGTGCGTGGCCTTTAACAGATGGCGTCGCACAGCAGTAACTATAGATAATGAAAAGCAAACGTTGATGTCTTTACACTTGTTTTCAGACTGATATGCTTTGAATATTGTTTAGAAGTTCTAATACGCCCTAACTGTGCTCAAATACAAGCCCATATCTCTAAGCAATGACAGTATAAAAGGATGGTAATGTCGATCAAGGCATCCATCTTCCCTTAGAGCTGAAAAGAAATCCATACCATCCTAAAACTGCGTAAACATAACTGCCTCCAGCCATGCATTCACAAGCCATGCGTTCCTTTACCAATTACAAAAGTAACCCAGCAAACATGATACAAAAAATCCCACCCCAATTCATGCGTATACTACATAAACACGTCTATTATCGTACAAGAAAACTTGGGGGTATTCGCTATTATATCCAATCACCCTTTTATCCCAGCATGTCCGTTCTGTGTCGCCGCGTTCGCGTCATCTCTCCTCCTTAACCATGCCGGAGCCAACTTGCGCCATATCCAGGCAACCAGCTGAAAGAAGCGTGCGTCCACATCAACTCCTACAAACCCCAGGATGCTCACAACAATGTACACCAGGAAAGCGATGACGACTCCCAAATCAAGAAAGTGGACGAACCACCAAAAGTGCTGTGTGCCCAGACGACAATTGACAAACTCGTACTCCCACTCCCACGTCTCTTGGTTGAACCACATGCTGAGAAGGCCCGCGTTGCCGCTAAAGTCGCCCATCATGCTACGCACCGTAATCTCTCGTCTGCCTGGAACACCTGAGGTGGTCAGGTTCGGCAGTCCTCGAGCCTGAGCATCACGCCATCTTGCCACCTCCCAGAAGCGCTCACTAGGATCCGTGCCGTTTGTCTGGTTGATGAAGTGGTAGGTATCACAGCCCTCGTGATCGTGTCCGTTGAGGATCAAGCCCTTGCGGCCTCGTCCGGCACCGGCCGCGTTGGGGTCTTTGTTCATGCCGTAGAATCCCTCGAGGAAGCCCTTGCTTGCGTCCGAGCTCAGCAGATACTGCTCCTTCACGCCACCTCCGTCCTCTGCGCCGTGAAAGTCGAAAAAGGGTGCGTCGACGCAGACGCCCTCCGGTTTATACAGCGGGATATGGGTCAAGACGAGGGTGAAGATGCCCGAGTATTCGACCGCGGCTGAGGTCCCGATGACGGCGTTGATGAATTTGTACGTCTCATCTTGCAGGTCGGTGTCCTTGGCAGGGGTGTCGAGATTCATGTCATTGAGAACGACGATACGGATCTCGGGTTCCAGGCGGGGAGAGTCGGGGTTTGTTTGGTCGTTATGAATGGTGGCCAACACATCCGAGTCGTTGATGGGGATTCCGAATCGAAGCTCGTAGTTGACCTTGCCAAAGACACGCTCGAACCGCTCCAGCCGCTCGGCAGTCAAGTCTCCAGCATAGCCAATATCGTGGTTGCCAGCAACGTTGATGATTCTCTTTGTCCAAATCTCCTCTGCCTCGGATCCGTCCAGCATGCCCGTCAAATCATATTCGTGCGCTGGCCACGTGGCGATATCATCCGGCACTCTCTCTCCGCCGCGGAAAGTTCTCTCCCAGAACCTGTGGCCTCGCTTCTCGAATTCATCGTCTTCGATCCACTGACTGCCCACAAGATCGCCCAGAACGCTCACATGGGTCGGGCGCGACCACCAGTGTAGGGTTCTGTAGATGTGGGCGAGGTAGAAGTCGTTGCCGAAGAGGTCGAGGCGTTTGCGCCAAGAGTCGAGATAATAGGGAATGTCTTCAAAGAATACATCGACGATATCGTGCACCGTCCAGCGGATGCGCTCTCGAAAGCACCAGTGTTCCGTCTGAAAGGTGAGATGCTTGTAGATGCTGATTACGTGGGGGAATGTGCCCAGGATGACCGTCGCGACTGAGGTGTCACCCTCGAGCTGAGGATCGCCCAGGGCAAGGAGTCGAAAGGGAGCAAGTTGAGTAGGCACATGGTCTGCATCGGTTTGGGTCTCGTTGAAGGGCCAATGGAGTCGTTTGGTCGCTTCAAAGGCTTCGTGGGCGTCTCTCGAGGGCAGGGGAAACGCGCAACCACCGAAGAAGGGGTAAAGATAAAGGTAAATCGTGCAGGCTATCGCCACAGGCACCAAAAGGCCCAAGCCATTGCGCAGGAAAGCCGCGACTAACATGTAGCCAGCCGCATGTGCAAAAAGCACGACAGAAGAGAAGAGGAAGGAAAAAAAAGCAACGAGATAAAGGAACGTTGGTGTTTTGGCCAGAGGTTTCAATGGACGGTTTATTTTAGGCGTAGGCTGTTCAGGGGTCCGACTCGCCTTAACAGCAGAAGCCACGAGTACTTGGGAATGCGCTAAATTAGCGTGCAATCTTGTGTACTGCTGGTGCCCCGCATTAGTGCCTGGCCATCCCCTAATTGTCCTATAATTGATGTTTTAGGGTAGAAGGTGTCGATGCTTGAGTTCAACGGTATATACTGCAGAAGGCATATAGAGTAGAGTATGTAAATATCCTACGTTACAGGTATCTTGATTGCTGTGTTGTGAATGTCATTTTTATTCCTTGCGTTTGCAGTGACTTGGGAACAGTCGAGCTTATGCATATATGAGCAAGAGTTGGTATATATTATACAAAGTTCCATAAACGCCTTATAGCTCAGCCCGTATAAGATACAAACAATATATACAAATGAATGAGAGGGCTTTTCCGATCACCGTACCAAGGAAACATTGAAACAATCTTCCATCTCCAGCCGTTCAATCATTCCATCATAACCATTTCGTCGTGGCCCAACTTTAGTAAATCTGAAGGAGCTGGACACTTCTCCACCAAAGCTGGTAATAGTTGGCAGTGATATCGTTTTAGGTATACTTGCCACGCAACCCGATTGTTTCTGATTTTTCCTTCTTTCATGTTTTTTTCTCCTTTATTTTTCCGATGGAAAGTTATCATTTTAAAGGCCAATTATCCATATTGGAGTGACGCACGTCATCCGAATCGACGTCGTTGGGAGATGCTAAGCCAGCATGGAGCCTCGAGAGGTCCTTATGAGCACCAACGTTGGCATCATTGATAACGGCTCCGGTATCAATGTCAGCAGAGGTAACGGTGGTGTTTGTAGTCTGGCTTCTGCCAGCCTTAGTGACCAGCCTTCCTCGATTCCGGGAGAGCTCTCGCTTAGGCTGCCGAGATAGGAGAGAATTCTTGAAGGCATTGGCCACGCTTGCGAATGGCTTGCTGATGTTATCCTGAACCCAGGGTGCCATGCGAGATTCAACTCCTTCTGCGTCTGGGCTTGAGGACTGGTGAAACGAGTCCTGGTCGGCTCTTTTGCAGGGGCGGTTCGACCTCTGGCACGGCAAGCAAGGATAATGGCTATCGCATCGCGTCTTGCGCTTCCGACACTCGGTACACGCCATAACGGGCCTTGGCCGCTTGACGCTGCGAGGTGTTTGCTGCAGTTGTTCAAGATACTGCTGCTGTCGAGTTGCAGCGGCAGTGGAAGAGGGAAAGTTGGTCATTGGGCCTCTCCCGTCTCCAATCAAGGCGTGGTCGCGCTCTTCCTGAGCTTTTCGCTCATCCTGAGCTTGTCGTTCTCGCCGAGCTGCGATGGCAGGGGAAGAGAAAAGGTTGATGTACGATGGCCGTGCAGAATCTTGAGAGGTGGGCAGATTTCTGCTGCAATTAACGCAAAGAGGTTTTTCTTCCGGCCTTGTTGGCCAAACCAGACTATCTTGGGTAGAGCAGTTGGAGCAGACGATCTCCTGAACATCAGAACCTCCAACACCCCGTAGCGGTGAGCCGGAGGGCTCTGGTATATCAGAGGTCATTTCCGTATCTTCGTTGTCGTCGTCGCAGTCCATCGCCGAGGGCTCACCCTCGGTGTAAATCGTTCCATCGAGCTGTCTGCTTGAAACAATTGAGGAACGATCAAGCTGCATTGAAGAAGTCATCGACTCGGTCAAGGCGTTGTTAGACTCCCTCATCTGCTGGAACCTGGACAGCTGAGCAACCGTTCTGCTCGTTGCTGATTCTCCTTTCTTGCCTGGCTCGAATGACTCCAAAGTCTTGTGACTGTCTAGAGCCTTTAGGAAACCAGAAATATCATCCCCCTCGGCCTGCAGCGCTGCACTTGCGTCACCAGCTTGTGCCAGTATTCGCCCGTTTCCATCAACTTGTACTTCACAACACCAATCCTTGAGCTGTTCTGTCAGCGGTCTTTTGCCTTGATCGGCTTGTGACTTCCTAGTGGATGGATCTATCATATGCGCAATGTATAAGTGAGACATTGCTCCGCCTACAGTATCGTACTGCTTCTGTGCCAAGCAAGATTCGCACTTTGATAGTGGATTGATGGCTTGGACATCGGGCTTGATACCAACGGAGGTCGGATCGCGACATATAAACTTCTTCGTCATCTTGTTGCTCTCATGTCGACGCATATGACGATCGAGCTCATGAGGCCCTCGGAAGCCACCTGGATGGTCGTTACAGATGGTGCATAAGAACTTGGATGATTTGCGCCTCTGATCTGAGCTTAAGCGGCCGCTTGAACGGCCAGCGATAGCTTGACGCGATGTCATGACAGGAGCTCTTGACGAGCTTCCTTCATCCGTCTTCATCGCAGCGGCTGGACCTGAGGGTAAATCGGATGAAGTGAGAACTGGGGATGTTAACGGGGAGAAATATGCGTCTCGAATTCGGTGTGCACCACCAGCCAATGTCATTGGCACGTAGTACTCGGCCGACGGTGGCGGTCCCTCAAGTGGTTTATATGTTGATGTAAGGGGATCGAAAATGTGGGACGATTGATCGAAATTGTAGGACGGTTGATATAACTCATGCCCTTGAAGAGAATCGGAAGTGAAGCCGGGAACTTCATCCAACTCTTCTCCAATAACCTGGAATTGTGATTGTAGTCCATGAGAACTGACATTATATAACTGGTAAGGAGAATTGGCAATTGAACTGGGAGTCGCCGTCGACACTGAATGTGGTGAGAAGCTGAGCCCAGGTAACGGTGTATTCCAGGAATTCCAGGACGGGTAGAGGGGTGCAAAGGGCTCGACACGATCAAAACTGGGATAAGGGAAGACCGCATCTGTTAGAGGTTGAAATGATGACACAGATGAATTGACATCGTGAGAAGTGGAAACATTCTCAGATGAATCGTCGTCGTGAGAAGGGGAAACATTCTCGTTGACATCGTGAGAAGTGGAAACGTTCTCATTCGCATCATAAGAAGGGGAAACATTCTCAGATGAATCGACGTCGTGAGAAGGGGAAACATTCTCATTAACATCATAAGAAGTGGAAACATTCTTATTGATGCCGTAAGAAGGGGAAACATTCTTATTGACGTCCCGAGAAGGGGAAACATTCTTATTGACGTCCCGAGAAGGGGAAACTTTCTCGGTTGAATCCGAAGCCTCATCTTCAGTATCCACTGGAATGGATGAGTCAAGAGGCTCACCCGCCTTCACAAGAACCTCCTCAGTCCATAGCCGGAGATCTGACACAGCTGACGATAAACGAACGACCCTGCTGTTACTGTTGACAAGTGTCTCTTGATAGTGCCTTTGGAAATGCCTCCGCCGAAGATGGTCTGCTGCCATGTAATATGCACTATACTGCTTCCCGGATGAACACTCTGGGCACTGAGAGAGTGGAAAATCAGGCTTTACATCAGAATAAAGACCTGCGGCGGTTGGATCTCGGCAGATATAATTCTTGGTGAGTTTAGCATGTCCAACCGTTTCATAGGCTGGTGCTCGCGGGCGACGTGGCGGGCGAGATCTTACTTCTATAACCGCTCCTCGATCTAGTCTCGAATTTAAGGGTGTAGAATTGATGCCATTTTTTGGTTGAGGTGTTTCGTGATAGTGTCTAGCACGCTGGAAGCTTCCTCCAGATATTAAATCGTTTATCCGGAGATGGTCGAGAAAGTCAAAATCAGGGCGAACATCAGCAAGAGTTGCCCCTCGGCGATAGTGATCTGCAATATGATGCATTCTATCTGTAAAACGGAGTCTGCACTGTTGCTGGGTTACAGGCTGGGCGTGGAATACAACCTTATCGCAAAACCAGCAACAGCTTTTGCTTGGTAGTATCATATTGAGGTGGTAGGCAGCAACGTGATCTACCCAGCCGTCGATGTCATGGAGGTCGAATGTCTCTTTGCAATCGCCATACCAGTAGAATTCGCATGGGAGCTGCTGGCTTGGTGACACAGAAGTCATTGAGCTGTTATCATCGTTGAGTGAGCTCCGACTTATCTCATTTGCCGTGGAGGTATAAAGGCTGCTAAGAGCGTCACGCTTTTTCCGAATTGCCTCACTCCCTTCAAGGAAGCTCCATATGTCCTTAAAAAGGGGGTCCGAGTGGAGATCAGCCCAGCGTTTTCTTTCCACCGTATGTGTGCTGTTAACATCGTCATATATGCTCCGAAATGCCAACTTTTCGAATTCTTGTGGCTTATAATCGGGCTCCGGCGGCGCTTTCAATGGAAATTGTTGATCTAATAGAGCTCGAGCATGTTCGAAAACAAGTCTGGCGGGCATAACGGCAGTCAGACCGTTGGATAGATTGCCTGCAAAGACGTGTCCAAAGAGGCGGCCAGTTACCTTATCCCTGACCCAGCCTCCACAGTCTCCAGGACCAAGTGACCCAAAGAATCTCGCAGTATATACCTCGGTGAACTCTTTAGAGTGAGGAAGCCGTACGGGAAGTGTATCTTCCGACATGAGTCCATGGACGACTCTACCATTTGAAGTCACAGTCTTCACCGCCGTGTTTCGTGGACCAGACTCGATCTTGTCAAGATCAGTAAGTGAAATTGCGTTGTTGAGTAAGGACTCTGAAGGGGAGTTCATGTCCACTTCAAACAGGGCATAATCAAGCTCTTCACTGCAGACAACAGGGTTGCCTTTGCCTATTAACCTCCCTTCCGGGGAGCTGGGTTCTTGCGGAGAGATGGAGAGTCGCCTTTGTGAGTTTCTATCACTTTCTGAGGCTGAAGTAGGAGTATACGAGTCGTCCACCTCGGAATCTTTACTCTCGTCCACATCTGAAACGCTGCCCTGCCTCACAGTTTCAACAAAATCCGTGTCTGTCTCATCGTCGTCATCATCGTCGAAATCGCCCAGGCCCGTTATTTCGCAGTCGCTAATCTGACTCGCCTCGAATTTATGCGCTGGCAACTCGATCGATGGTGAATCTCTCAAGAAATGGCTGATGCTAAGCAACATGTGTTTGTTCATATAACTTACAACACCACCAGCAGTGGCCGTTCGAATCGAACCTGGCTTGGCCGACGTAGAAAGGCTGCCCTTAAGCGTCGACTTGCTGCGAGATCCGCTTCTAAGTGGTGACTTGGATCGTGACTTTGATCGCGTCCTTGACTTGTTGCGGAAATGCTGGACAAGGCCAGCGACGGCGGCAGTCCCGACTGCGGCCTTGGCTGACGTAGAAGTGCTACGCTGGCGGCGACGTGAGCGTGAGCGAGAACGAGAAGGTGAGCGATCATCGTCAGAGGAAGTATAGCCTCGGCTTCGGCTGCGGCCTCGATGTCTCTCTTTCTTTTCGACTTTGCCAGCCCGGAGATACTTTGTGGCACCAGCTACGGCGAGAGCGGCTGCGGCAAGTCCCAGACCTTGTTTGGGCACGGAATTGCGATCAGAGAATGTGTCATCGCCTCTAGAGTGATCTCCATATACGTTATGGGCTCTTGCGATGGACTCGGTCCTAAGAGCTCCTAAGCTGGTGCTGGCAAGAATCTTCCTGCCCGAGACCTCTTTGTCTGAGATTAATCGATAACAATCTGAAGCGCCTTCTTGCTGTAATGAGAAAACGGAGACGCTGTCGCCGGCCCAGGCCATGAGCTTTTCAAAATCCGAGTGCCCAAGCTCGAAGCCTGGGTATTTGGTCATGATGTCGCTATGAAGAATCAAATCATATGCTTCCTTGCGGGCAACTTTATCATCCGACACGAGCATGACAACAGGCTTCGCTCGCTTTGCCCTCTTCCCAACCATAAACAGCGGGATGGAAAGGTAGCTGCCAGACTCTTGCGCCTTGTCGCTGTGCTCGAGCAAGTAGTCGAGGATGGACTTTTTGAGGCTGCTCTCGAATAGCCTCCGGGCCTCCCCCTTGGCCTCCCAACAGAGGATGTCGCCGAGCAGCCCTGGATGTAGTGTCCCTAATAACTTTCCGACGGAGTCCTGTGCCGAACTCTGCGCGTATGGCCACGTCTTTGGGCTTCGCGAAACGATATTCATCGCGGCGCTCTTTAGTGGCTGTATTCACCGGGACAGTCAAACAGAGTTGTTGGCCGTTGACTCATTTAGTGTACTTTGAGATGGCGGAATTTGTAAGTGTCAGAAGGGAGATGCCTGGTAAGTGTGACTTTCGCCAGGCAAGAAGTGTATTATTGAAAAATAGTGTTAGTTGGACTTGGGTCTGAGGGGGGGGAAAGAGAAGAACGGCAACACATTGGATGCGACATCTTCTTGCACTGCCTCGATATGCGTATGCGGACAAGGTTGATGGAGTGCGTAAGGCTCACAGGGAGGCTCAAATGCTGCAGCTGGGGGGGATATTAGCCGCCGACAATCACACCAACTATAAAGAGGGTTGCATGCAGGTAACAACAATACACCTGTAAGACCGTGAGACGATGGGTAGAACTGCTGTAAACCCGCTGAAGAAGAATCAAGATCTAAACTCTAGAGCGGGAATATAGGTAACATAAAGACCGTGCATTATTTGGTGATGATGATTCTTGATCCCGGGATTTATTCGATCCCAGGCGAGCTTTGACAGTTATTGCTGTGACGACTTTGATTCCAATCAACATCGACCATGTCCCATTGTTAGTGGATATTTGAAGGCTGTGTCCGCCTTACCTATTCCGCCACGAATCCTTGTATAAGTGAGGGTGACATTCAAAACCTCGGCAAAGAGCCTCAAAATTGCCCATTGATAGAAAAGTAAACAAGATGCAATGATTCTGTCTATCCTTACCTTTCTGTAATCCCAAATACCGTCTGGATCCGATGCTTTCGCGATGAATCCTCATATTTCTCATTTATCGCAGTCTGAGGCCTTGAATGAGCCGCTGCAGAAATTTCCAATCTCAGGATCGGTGCAAGAGGGGCTGCTCGAGGCACTATGGGAGGCCTCAGACCGTCATGGCAGCATGTCGCCTTACTTTAAATATTATTCCAAGCGTATTCAGCGCCTGCGACTCGATGGCTGTGACGGATTCTGTGCCGACTCCCACGCGGACATTGCCTCAATTGCAAGAAGAATCCTGGATGGGGCTTCCAGAGATGAAATATTCGAGCAAGTAGCAGTGGCGGAAAAGTGCCCGTCTGCATCTACCGCTGCCGACATCAACCATGGCATAGACATGTGCGCAAGCCTGCTTGTCATGACGGAGATTGAGCTCAACGGGATTTCTGCTGGTCTATCCGGATTGACTGCTGTTCCATGGAAGAGTGGATCGTTGAATAATGCTTTGGCGACGTATTTCTGTCCTCAAAAGACGCTGCAAGCAGATCGGCCCAAACTTGGCAAAGTATTCACGGCTAGGAACTTGAATCGCATAGCGGGCATTGAGATTCGATGGACAACAAACTTGGCAGACCATCTGCGTCTTGTGGATGACGACCAGGTTGTTTTCATTTTTCACTGCGCGAGCTTTCTCCAGCTTCAGAAAGGGTAAGCAGACTTCCTAAACAAAGAATACGAAGCCCAGACAACTGACTAACAACAATATAGTCTAGACAACAGTCCATTTCCAGCATCATTTCTCCAAGAAACGCTAGACACTCTCGCCCTTCTCTTCCCCTCCTCAGATAATGAGACGACGAGCTGGCTAAAGAGTATTGCGAAGATTGACCCGCGACTATTAAAGTGTGGTTCTCTTCGTACCCGGGAGCGCAGACTGGAGAATTTTAATTACTGGCATGATCAGCTTGTCATCTTAAAGCAGGCGTTTGACGAGTCCAGTCCCAGAAACATTTCTCAGTGGTGGTTTGACAGAAGGAATGGCGTCCAATGGTACACATTTTGGATAGCGATACTTGTTTTTGCAGTCACTATATTCTTCGGCGTTGTACAAAGCGTCGAGGGTGCATTGCAGGTCTATCTAGCGTACAAGAGCATGTAGTCAGGGTAGCATGGATGGGTAACGTGGGTATGGCGTCTTGGGGAGACATTTATGAGCGAATGTTTTATTGTATATCTGCTTGGATTTTTTTTGTATAAGATACCAGAACTGTTATTATTTATAGAAGAATGTCATTTGTTTTCGATTCACAATAGCTGGACCCAGCGAGAATGACGAACCCGTAGAAAGCTCTATACTTTAGTTCTTTCATTATCATTATACGGAGTTGATACCATAGGCTGGGAGATAGCTGCATATTTATTAACCCAATTGCCACAACTTATTAGTCCCTTCATACTAATGATAAACAACAATTTGTCTGTAGAGGCAATTACGACGTTTAACAAAAAATGAGCCTAGAGAGTTTTGGTCTGTATTATTTCTCTTATAACGACTTGATGCATCGGCAAAAAGGTGTAAGTACCCGGCCAATTCATCTTCAACAACCACCACAGTGAATCATATTTGACGACCTATTCCGGCTAAAAAGCAAATGCAAAATTAACCTATAATTACTAAACAAAAACTCTGATGGAATCTTTTCCACTTGACACTCTCCTTTGACATCCATCTCCTCCTCCTGATCGCCAATTGTGTTGCATTCGGACAAACTTGGGTGTCCGTAGAAGCCATGGAGGCCGTGAATATCCCGGGCTTATGCAGACAGGGATGTCCTTTTTCTCTTCCTGGAATAGTCTATGGATCTGATCTCTGGCGCTGAATCCACATAATACTAGTGCATGCAAGGTTCTCTTACTTCCATTTTCGTCGCAAACCAAGAGCTAGCTCCTATGTTGAGCCACTTACACGGTGTAAACAGTTCATGATAGGCTTCTAACAAGTAAATAATTTCATCATGGTTCAATTTGTAACAGAATAGTTGTCATGTAATTCCATCGATTTCGCGTCTTACAAATCAGCAAATCGACTGACAACTGACTCATGAAAGGGTTGAAGATGTAGTTTGTCAAAATACCGCAGAAGTAGTCGCGGGAGAAATATTTATAAATACAGTCTTCATCTCGTCTTCAAAGTTCATCTCGAGCAATCGCAATCACTGTTCTATTATACAATTCTCTGTAACCAACCTACCTCACAATGTCAACCACAGACTCCCTCTCCCTGGCCGGCAAGACTGCTATCATCACCGGTTCCGGTAAAGAGAACGGCATCGGAGCCGCCATCGCCCTCGCTCTTGCTAGGAACGGTGCTCGTGTTGCTATCAACTATGTCTCGGAAGCCACTGCTCCTCGATCTTTGAAGGTTGCAGCAAGCATTGAAGAAGTGGCCGGCAAGGGCAGCGTCGTCATCATTCAACAGGATGTCACCACGCCTGAGGGAACCAAGAAGCTAGTTGAAAAGGCAATCGAGGGATTTGGTGTTGATCGTATCGACATCCTTGGTGAGTGTTTGCTATTCAATGGTACTATAGAGGCTTGAGCTGATAACTTATGCATAGTTAACAATGCCGCATGGGCTTCGCGAGAGCCCGCCTTGACTATGGGCCGGGAGAGTGTTGAAAAGACATTCAATACTTGTGTTTTGGGGCCACTGTATCTCATTCAAGCTACGGTCCCACACATGCCACAAGGTGGAAGGATCATCAATGTCGGCAGCGTGGCGTCAAAGCTCGGAATCGAGGCCGTTTATGGAGCCGCAAAGGCAGCCATGGACGCTTTGACGTACAGTCTGGCAAGAGATGTAAGTGCTTAAACTAATTCAATGCCAGCCGTCTTACAGGAGCTAACAATTGGGAAGCTTGGAAGCGACAACAAACGCATCACCATTAACACGGTGATGCCCGGCCCTGTGCTCACCGACTCACTGAAAGATGAAGAGTTTGAAATGCTGAAGGAAGGTTTGCTCAACTTGACACGGGCAGAGAGGCGATTTGGAACAGTTCAGGATATCGCAGACTCAGTGCTGCTTCTTGCCAATGAGAAGAGCCGATGGATTACTGGAGAGGTCATCTCCGTTAGTGGTGGCATAACTGGCAACTAACACGTTCCGGTTGTGGTAACTCTAACTCGGACAAATTCATCTCCCGCGAGAACAGGGTCCTAAATAAGATATAGTGTTTATTTAGTCTTCACATGCTAAACTAGTTTTCTATGCTCTTCTTACACTGTCCAACTGTTATTCCGTATTTCCTGTGGTGACGTTTCCTCCGCATTCGTCCGGGAATCATGTGGAGCGACAAGCCCACCCTACCAGGATTGGTGCTAAAATAGGGACTGGAGATTCTCGGCAGGCTACCCGAGCATTTATTAATGCGGCTCCCCGTCTCCGAATCTACATCTATGCAACTAAAACTTGGTCTTTTCAAACTACTATTTCGAATTCAAATTCCTCTTTGTTTCACTAAAACTTGTCTGGACAGTTCATCATGGGCTCTAAGCAATTCTCCTTTGTCAACATCTCACACCCAGAAGAGAGTCGAAGCCGCCACAATCTGGCCTACGTTCGTCGCCATGTCATGGCAGACGTCGGTCGTTCGAAGCGCAAAAAGCCAAGATATAAGATTATTCCTCTTGAAGTCGCTTCTAGAGAAGATGCATCTGAGGCAAAGCCAGTGAAGATTGAGGCGGCTGAGTCACCACCTCTTGGGAGAATGCCACCGTCGTTTCAATTACATCTCGTTGACGCGAATGCTCGTGCTTGCGAACTTGTCAGCTTCAGTAAGTGTTTAATCATACAACTTATTTATAATTGTTACTGGGAATTACATTCTAACGCACATCGTAGTGGCTGCCGAGGCCGACTACGTATATCGACCGTTCCGCACCTCATGGGTTCAAATCGGCCTCTCAGATCCAACCGCATTTGATCTATGGCTTGCGCAGGCCATTGTGATTCGAGGTCGTGCTGCACAGGAAGATATTACATCCTGTCCCGGTGTGGAGTATTTAAGCAACCCCGAGGCGAATAAGTACTACAGTAGATCACTCAACCAGCTATCCCGTCGACTGAGTAGTCGCGAAGAGTGTGTAAGCATGGGCGTCATAGCAATTATTATGGGATTTATATGCATTGATGTAAGAAACCCTCAGCAGTTGTTTTATTCCAACCAGACTCTAAAGACTTTACCTTGTCTAGACACGTGTGGGAAACTGGAGTCGGTATTCTATGCATATGAATGGTTTGGAGCGAATATACCATCTTCGCAACGGGTTCGACGAATTAGACAGGGGAATTGCATTAATGGCTTTTTTGTGAGTATCTGCACATGATAGAATCAAGATTCCTACAACTGCTAACAAGTGAGTAGTGTTGATTTAATGGGAGCTTCCATGCTCGATCGGTATCCTCGATTTCCCATTCCGAAACACTGCGTTAATCCTTCGGAAATGAATTATGAAAGCGACATGTCAGATACGTTACAAATTTTACTCAACGATGCCAAAACGATAGCACCTAAAGGAGAGCGGATATACGCTATGCTCAGAGTAACAGCATCAGTCATCGCGATGGTCAATCGGAACGCCAATGACCCCCTATTCTGGACCCATGACGCGGCTCTGGCCGAGAAATTGGGGTCTGCGAGTCATTTTATACTATCAATACCCAAATCTCCAGAAGACGACCCGCATACAGACCATCCTGTCTTTGTTGTGCAGAGAATGGTACAGCTCGCATGCTTGATGGTCATGTCAAAGTTGAAGCAATTGGCGTCTTTCCACTGGGCCGATATAGACCCCATTGGAGACCGGCTTGGCAAACTACTTCAAGTGCCTTGTTACGAGGTTCCTGTACAGCTCCAACAAATACGTCTCTGGGCGATTGTGATAGCTTGCTCATTACTGGATCCCGAAGCACAAGTTCCGTTTCTTATCGAATTGAGGCAGTCAATAAGAGCGCTGGGCTATCACACTGCCGAGGAGGCAGTTGAATATGTCAAAAACCTTCTCTGGCTTGAAAATATAGACATCGTTGCAGCAGAGAGCCTATACGGATGTTGTAATCTATAATCGGTGTATTGAATGGTGGGAGAATATATAAAACATGAGATGATGGCGTCGATATTGATCAATCAGCAATTGGGGAGAGAGGACCTGTAACTGTACAATAGATGATATACATGAAATTATTAGGAAAATTAATTATGACCAAATCCTACTTATTCTATTAACATGGTGTTGCATTGGCAAGAAATGATGCTAGTGTACTCTGTACTGGAGAGCAGAGTTGAAACCGATTCCAAGTTCCATTACCAACCTCACAACAAAGAGATTGTTCAACTGAGGGAAAAAATAAAAATTGATTAATTATATAGTGGAAAAACATAAATTTAAATAAAATTAAAAATAACAAACACATCTTTCAGTTCAATACCCTTGCTGTAACTTTCATCGCGAGACTTACAGCAGAATAGTTTAGCCGGATTTAAGTTTATCCGCCACGCACCATCATCGCATTTTCTCTGGCGATAGCGTCAAGTAAAGCTTCGGCAAACCACACGAGCAAAGCGACAAACAGCCCCATTCCTGCTGTCTTTTCCCATCCCACATCGATATCCAGGAAGAGGAGGGAAGAATTGAGCCGGGCCTCGCTCTAGACACACTCAATTCGAATCCAAGGAGCGGGCACCCAAACATCTTCGCCTCAAATCGTCCCACAAAGATTCTCAACACCAAGGCGAGATTCGTTGAATCCCAATCTCCTTCCTCCCTCGAGAGATACAAACAACAAATCAACATCTCCAACTCAACACTCTCTCCAAAATGGCATCCTCTTCCCTCACCGGGCTCTTCAGCCGCCTCTCCCTCCTCTCACGAACCACCACAACCACAACCATGACAACAACCCCCCGCCTCTTCTCGACAACCTCCTCCTCCCTCGCCCGCAAACTTCCCACCCCAGCCTCCGCCCCCAAAGCCGCCCGCCGCAACCGCTCGGCCCCGAAATCCGAAAACTTCAACCGCATCCGCACCCTCCGCCGCAACATGTTCTCCCCGGCGCCCCCTCCCCTGCGCATGGCCCGCCAGCGCTACCTCCGCCACTGGACCATCCACCGCGCCTGGATGCTCTTCCGCCGCAAGCAGCACGAGGCCATCGAGAAGGAGAGGAGCAGGATGCACGCGGGCATGTACAATGCCTGCGAGGAGCTGCGCAAGACGGTCGGGCCTGGGTCTAGGGGCGAGGGATATCTGTACCGAGTCGCCATGGAGAAGAAGGGCGTCTATGGGCTTGAGGGCGTGCCGATAGAGTATGCTAGGTTCCAGACGGATAGCCCTGCGAAAGAGCCGTGGAATCACGACTGGAAGAGGTAGAGAAGGGAACGATATGGGAGCTTGCAGGAGAGAAAAAAAAAAGGAAGAAATGAAATAGACGCCATGTATGAATATGAAGAATTGTATAATACCACCCATGATATATCCAAAATCGATAGCGTGGTCAAAATAAAGTGAGTATAATGGAGAAGAATAAATCACAGGTGATGACATGAGCGTTCAATTGGGAGACTCGACATTCTTATTGCTAGAGTAGCAGAGTAATAAAATCGCCCTCTCCATCATTCACCCTTTTCCGTCCAAAAAAGTCCCATATGCCACAAGAATGGGACAAAAAAAACACAATATACCAGTTATTGATCTATGCCATCCACCATATTAGTACAGAGGTTGAAACCGCCTCGCTTTGAAGCGCTTTTTCTCCGCTGCGACAAAATACGCTTGCCAAACATTTGCGATAAAAACAGCATTTAAAAATCCAAGAGTAAAAAATAAACAGAGCTTTCCAATAAGGTAGACCAGAAAGAACGGCGAAAGGACGGCTGGTAACCTCGACCCCCTCAGGCCGAGACCATGTTCTCGTAGTGGTTGTATGTATGCTTTTATGCAATACTTGATGTGATGTAATCAGCTGCAATTCCAAGGAAGGAAGAAACATTGGTTTCAAAGGCCGTGTAATGGAGAGAGAAGCATTGCGCTTATACTCTTCTCAGCAGAGATGGAGATAACTGTGCTTTGCCAAGCGGCAACAAGCTTTGAAGATGCAAGCATCATGTCATGGCCTCATTCGTCGAGATGCAGGCTCGTAACGGTGCGTTGTTCGGCCACTTTCCTTTGGCCCAAGTATTTCATGTCGACTTTCGTTCGACGCGTGAGGACAAAATTCCAAGTCCTACAGAACAACGCAACAGCCTGTGCTCTCCCCCTTCTCGAATGTGAGGAGAGCCGCTCGGGTAGCCGCCTCAAACACATCATCAACACCCTCTCCACTCAAACTGGAGCATTCAAGATATCTCTTGGCGCCAATCTCTCGAGCGACGCCCTCGCCGTCGTGCGTAGTGACGAATCGCAATGATTTTTTGCGCATCTCTTCGATAGCAACGGGATCGTCGCGCAGATCTTTCTTCAATCCGACGAGTATGATAGGTACTCCTTCACAAAGGCGAGTAGCTTCCTCAATCCACTAGAATAACAACATTATATCAGCACACAGCGATTCCATCATATGCTGAATGGGCGCCATCGAACCTTGTGTTTGACATTATCAAGAGAATCGGGCGTATCGACAGAGAAGCCTATTAGAATGACATGCGCCTTGGAGTAGGCAAGGGGTCGTAAGCGTTCGTAGTCTTCTTGGCCGGCCGTATCCCACAGAGCAAGCTGCACGGACTTGCCATCTACTCTGCAGTCGGTTACGTAGTTTTCGAAGACGGTGGGAATCTGCATTGGGAGGTTAATCTCGGCTGTGTGGGTGCGCAATCGCGAGCGGAACTCACGTAATGCTACATTATGGTTAGCGACCGCATACACTTTGTCTAGAGTAGAGAGAGAGAGCTTGGAATAACATACTGTAGGAAAATAACCGAGTGTGAAGACGCTGAGTAGACTTGTCTTGCCGCAGGCACCATCTCCGATGATGACGAGTTTCCTGCAAGTTTGGTCTGGTTAGCAAAACAATTCCGTTGTCTAGCAGATTTTGCCATGGCTCAAGCCAAATCATGGGCTCAACACCCGGCATCGAACGAATAGAAAGCCACCAGTGACAGCAATAACAACAATAACAGAGGCATGGACATCGATCGTACCTGCGGATGACATTTTGCGGACTCCCACTAGCCATGTTGAAGCGATGCGATTAAGAGCTGCTGGATATGGATAGATTGGACGGAGAAGTCGTCAAGTGGGAAACGAAAGCGAAAGTAGGCAGGCAGGGCCAGGCGTCGGATTCTTGTGCCAAACGGAACTCCCCCAGTCCCAACGGCCTTGTTCGCCGAAGATCTGTGGATGACGGACAGGACCAGTTTAAAAGCAGTGGCTCCCGGGGCAAATCGAGCTCGATTATCGATGTTATGAATCTTGGTTCGGGAACGCCGCTCTTGTGCTGCCTCCCAGAATCGTACTGTCGCGTCTAGGGGATACGGGTTGGACCAGGGCGGTGGAACGGATTGGTTGGTTGCCAGGCGATTTATCGGAATACGAGCTTGGACGAGTCTCCAGTTATTCGCTGCGGCGAGCGGTCGGCTGCAAAGGACTTTGGCCGCGCCAATGGAGGATCGGATCAGGGCAGGCTAGGGGCAGAAGAATCACACAACTTTGCTGCTGCTGCTGCTGTTGTAAATGAAAGCGAGACAATCAATGTGAGGCAGGAAATAAAAAAGAACGGAGGGAAAAAAAAAGAAAAGGAACAGGCAGGGTTTAAGGGGGGAAAGGCGCTGCTCACGGCGCTATCGTTGCTAAGGCTAAGAGGATAGCATAGCACAGCACAGGTCCTTAGCAAATGCAGCCCAGCAACGTTTCACCAACAAGATGGGCCGCTAGACTGCTGGTGGATCGAGGCCGAGTTGAGGCTTGCGTCTGACGCTGAGGCCGGACTTTACGACTCAAGAAGAGAAGAAGGAGTTCGCGCCAGATTACATAAAGCAGCAAACCGGCCAACCAGCGGCGCAGCTTCGCCTCGGCCATCCCAAAAGTGTCTTGACTTGGGACGGGCTGTACCTTTGCCGGAAGCATTACGGCCACAGTAGCGTTGACTGCTAGTACCTGGCCGGCCGATTGAACTGTCTTACGGAGACGGGGATATTTTTAAAAAGTGGCATTGAAAGTATTAGAGAGGGTTAGTGTTGGTGTCGAGTTCAATAAAGGGAATTATTGCGATGTACATGTATGTAAGCCTGCAATTACTTGCCTCTGGCCGCCCGTCTGTCTATGCGATCTGTCAGTCTATCTCTTGTCTATCTCTTGTTTTCTCTTGCCTGCGCCTCTCCTCGGAGTCGTCCTGATCTTCACTCGGTCGGCGGAATACTACCGATCGTCCCGCTTCCAAGCGAGGCTGAGTCTCGGGCGAATGAGCGACCGCCTTCGAAGCCATGGTGTAACATCACGCATGAGAGCGAAGGCGCTAAGAAAGCAAACAAAGCCTGGCTTTGCAAGTCTATTGGGCGCACGGCTGGATGCTCTGTACGAGAACGCCATGGTGCATTGCAACGCGTCTCGTTTTCTGCCGTCTTTCATGCAGGGACTCGGGTTGATGGCAGGTCAATCCTATGTTATGATATCAGTCCGGGGAACAAAGACGAGAGTGGCCACTGTACTATGGGGGCTATCGCGTTTGCTGCCCGACAAAGCACCAAGGAAGGATTCACTACAGGGCCAGCTAGGGCTGAAATGAGCGCAAGCTTTGCGGGAAAAGAAGCTTCTCGGGGCATTCTGGCGAATAACGAGCCGCCAATGTCAATAGTCTACCCTGTTAATTCATGGCTTGCATCAGGCACTTTGCGGGCTGCTCATGCTCATGTCAACACTGCCCTACGACAAGTAACTACCTAAGCAGGTTACCGTGATTGCTAGTGTAGGCCATGATGGACAATGGTGGGGTTCAGCCCTCTGCAGGATTCTTACCTTGCATGAGCGCCAGACAAACTTCGTGCACTTGGTGCAGATGGGCTTATTTTCAGCTGCCAGCAGACGGGCGGCAAGGCAGAACTAGAGGCCGTTGTGAAGCATTGAATAAAGTGTAAGTGCAGCAAGTCTGGAGATGCTGCGAGAGAGCCCCCTGGCCTGCCTGCTGCCTACGATGCGTCAGCTGCTTGTAGACGTGCGTCCATGTCAATGGATCAGGAGAGTGAACAGCCACTCTGCTTCACCGAATGGCGTTCAAGGCATTTCTAGAGGGTCCTGTCCCAAAGCGGTAGGCTACGTAACTTGACGTAGAGCACGAGGGTCTCTTCTCAATGCGGAAAACGACCAACTAATTCATATCGATAGCCAAGCTACACCCCGAGATGCATTGTTGCCGTCGTGGTAGGTACAGTATCTTTGTAAACAACCTAACTGCCTTTGTACAGAAGACTCCTTGCTTTGTCCAAATTGTGGTACCCGCTTGATATCAAAGGGCTGCATTGATCTGAGTAATCTTTATACGTAGCAACTACTTAAGTAGAGACGTATTGGACGCCGGATCAAGGTAACATCCATCTGTCATCTACCAGGTAGTGATCAGGGTGGCATTACCTATGACGCAGACTCCAGGTGCATCAGCTATGACGATCCATGCCTCAGAGAGCCTTGTGAAAGCGGTAGCGAAATAGCTATCATCCACCACTCTCTGGCATCAGACCATGGCAACAGCCTTGCGAGCAAATGGCAACGTGGTATTACATGGATGTCAATACAGCAGCGAACAGGCAGGCACAGATGCAGCCACACCGAATGAGGCGAGCTGGTAACTATCTGTACGACCTTGATGCCCAACAAATCCGCTGCTCCTTGCATCGCTACATGCTGATCGCAGGACTATCACAGGACTATGTACTCTGTACCGTAGGACTACCACCGCTTCACCCTTGCTTGCCCTTGCACCACAGCTTCAGGCGAGGGGTGACTATGACCCAGCGCTGAACCTGAACCCGAATCCAGGGAGAGCTCGCCCGCTATAAATAGGAAATAGTGTCTGGTATCAAACGCTCTAATCAGACGTCATTGCCAAACAACGACTAAGTTCTGCTGCTTTATGTAAGTTGAAAGGGTGTGTTTTAGCCCAGGCACGTATGGAGTACAGCCACAAGGCAGGGAAAGCGTCAATGCCTCTTTGTATGTACTAACGCAAGTACGGTACCTACCTTAGGTACTCTTTGTAGTAATCCATGTAATGTGATGAATGCGGTGATGTGCGCCCGCCATTGCTCGAAACGAAGCAGGGCAGCGGTACCGATGCCAATCACGGGGTACAGGCACACGCCAGTGACATTGGCCGCGCTGCGTACGATGCACAGCACCGAGTGCCCATGCCCTTGCGATGTTGTACAGGTACTTTGCAGGCCATAAGGGTCCACGCCTGCTGGAAGCACCTGGAAGGACCCCTACAGCACATACTGTATAGCGCCTGTTGGCTCTGTGCTTTGGGCTTTGGTAGGCCCGCCAACCCCAGCGCCTCAGGCACAAAGCCAGATTTCGGCTGCGGATCTGGGTGTTAAAAGGGCATCACGTGCCGTTGCACAGGGTCGCCTTTTCAAATCCAGCGCGAAATCTGATAGACGGCTTTCAGCCCCGGTTTTCGCCAGCCTCAACAGGGACGTCTATTCTTGCATAACAGAAGTACATGCCGCTATGTAACTACACCACACGGTGACTTCCATCGATTTCTGGCCCTCCAAAGCATCGCCCACGACTCTCCCAATCGCCTTCCCCACGCAATCGACGCGAGTTCTCACGACGCGCCGCATCTCACAGGCTCAGGCTCTCGGCCGGGGCTCTTCGAAACCCCCACTGGCGTCATTGCTGACCTAACCCTGAATTGGCTTTGCGGATTGTGAGTGCCTCATTTTGAGTCGCCGGCAACCTCCACCAGCAAACCCAGCCATCGCCATCGATCTCCAACGCTGTGCTTTGCCACCCGCAGCTGGCCTTGTCCTTGACCGTCCGCACGCCCTTCCTGCTGCTGCTCTGTCCTAGTAACCCGACGACTGACTTGCTTGTTTTCTTCCTGCTGCAGGCTGCGTCGTTTTGAGCCGCCCTGGGCCCCCAGTCCCGAGACTTGATGCTCTCAACTGCCTTGCTTCCGTAGATTCACGATGCCGGCCCATCACCAGAAACCGGCCCCCCTCGCGCCGGCATCGCCTCGAAACACTGCCAAATACACTAACAAGGACGGCTCCAAGTTCATCACCGTTCCCAAGGCCAGCCCGTCAGACTCGTCCCGGCCCTCGACGCCCACCATCGCCAAACCCAACAAGGCCCCGCCGCCCGCGGACTCGACAGGCCTCGACACGTCGGCGCCCACGGTAAATCGCAAGAAGCAGAAGCGGCGGCAAAAGGCTGCGGCCAAGGCGGCCGCTGCGCAGGTTGCCAATGGCCATCCCAGCCCCGCTCTCAGCTCCGACAAGCCGATGCCCGCGGACTATGAACTTGTCGCAAGTGACGAGGATGATGACGTTTATGATCTAGCTGACGACGCGGAGCCTATGCCGACGACGAATGGCCACACCATAGATCCTAAAGCTAATAAAAAGAACAAGAAAAAGAAGAAAAAGACCGGTCCCGGTCTCCACGCCGAGGAGATGGATCTGAACCACCATACTCACAACCATCGTTATCACGGGGACGACTTGGCGCCAGCGGCTCCGGCGCCGCGTGGCTCTGGAATGTCTAGGGATAAGATATGGAGTACTAGCAATCACGAGGAGCGCGAGCGTATCAAGGAGTTCTGGCTTGGCCTGGGCGAGGATGACCGGAAATCCTTGGTCAAGGTGGAAAAGGACGCCGTACTAAAGAAGATGAAGGAGCAGCAGAAGCATACGTGTAGCTGTACCGTCTGCGGGAGGAAGCGCACCGCCATCGAGGAGGAACTGGAAGGTCTGTATGATGCATACTATCTCGAGCTCGAGCAGTTTGCAAATCAAGGAGAGGACCCCCCGATGCTACCCCCTCCTCCCCGAGACTTTTCGATCCGCCAAACGCGAGGTTTGCCCGGAGGATATCCCCGGCCTCCCCCAGCTCGCGGTCGAATAGTGGAGCACGTGGGCGACGATGACGAAGAGTTAGAAGAAGCATACAGCGAAGACGAAGCGGAGGACGACGAGTATAGCGACGACGAACCTCCCGAGGAATTTCACGGCTCTCCTGACCGAGACGTAGCTGATTTCTTGACGTTTGGTAACAGTCTCCAAGTCAAGGGTACGCAACTTCTTGAATCACTTCTGCACAGATATGGTAACATGGACTTAGGCGGCATTCTCACCGTGGCGGATGACCTACTCAAAAACGACGGCAGACGCTTCATCGAAATGATGGAGCAGCTTGCGGAACGTCGAATGGCCCGAGAAGAGGACGCGCGAGAGCACTTCGCTCGCGGCTACGGTCATCCCAACGGCTCATACTCCGCTCCTCACAACCATCCTCCTCCTGAAGACGAAGACTACGAGGACGAAGAAGAGGAGGAGGAAGAGGACTACGACGATAGTCAAGACGAGGAGTATGAGGATGAAGAGGTATACTACAACCCATCTGTGATGCCGTCCAAGTTCCATACTGAGTGCTGTTGCCAGGACCCGATGACAGAAGAGCAGCGAATGGAAGAAGGCCGACGCATGTTTCAGATATTCGCCGCCCGCATGTTCGAACAACGAGTACTATCCGCGTACAAAGAGAAAGTGGCCAAGGAGCGTCAAGAAAAGCTACTAGAGGAGCTGGAGGAGGAAAGCCGAGCGGTGGACGAGCAAAAGGCGAAAAAGGCAAAGAATGCTCAAAAGAAGAAGGACAAGGCGGCCCAAAGGAAGCAAGCGCTTGCGGACGAGAAGGCTCGAAAAGAAGCCGAGAAGGCCGCCGAGGAAACCGCCCGAATTGAAGCCGAGAGGAAGAAGATTGCTGAGCAGAAACAGAAAGCCGAAGAGAAACGCAAGCAGAAGGAAGCCCAAAAGAAGGCCGAAGAGGACGCGCGGCTAAAGAAGGAGGCTGAACGACTGCGGCGGATCCACGAGCAGAAAGAGAAGCAAGCCGAAGTGGAACGAAAAGCGCGCGAGGCCAAAGAGCGAGAAAAGAAGCTCAAGGATGAGCAACGCACCAAAGAGCGGGAAGCCCGAGAGCAGAAAGAGCGAGAAGCTCAGGAGCGTAAGGAGAAACAGGAACGCGACAAGCGAGAAAAGGAGGCCAGAGCTGCAAAGTCCCAGAAGGAGTCTCGAGAAGCGGCAGAGGCCGCCAGAGAAGAGCAGCTGCAGCGAGCCAAGGAAGAAAAGGCTGCCCCAAAGGTTTCCTCTGTTCCGGTAGCCCAGACTCAGCCCTCACAGCCTGCCAAGCGTGGAAATCAGCAACAGCAACAGCAGCCTCCCCAGACGGCGCAGACTCCTGTTATCTTGCCCGCAGTCTTGCCTCAACATCCTCCTAATCCAGCAAGCTTCATTTCGCCAAAGATTCCCGTAGCAACTCCGGCAATCCCCAAGGCGCCAACTCCCATACGGCCGAGGACGACGTCTCAGCAACACGGGACCGGGCCGGCAAGCTCATCTGACTCGCAGACAGCATCCGTACCTAGCCAGAGCGCATCACCACATTCTGTCACGCCGGTGTATACCAGCCCTAGTTCGACTGGGCCCGAGAGGAGAATCAGCGCAGGCACTCCGGTCACGATACAGCCAGCTACAATGCCAGGTACACCACCTGGGCTGCCACTGCCCAAGGGCCCAAGCCCATCTGCCCCGTTCCAGCTACCCATGATGAACATGCAGCCTCCTCCAGGGCTGGGTCCCCATGGGCCTCCACCCCCGCCAGGTTTCTCCAACCGGCCGGGTCACGATCCCATTTTCCCGGTAGGGTTTCGACCGAGTCCCGGTCATAATATGATGATTCCGCCGCCTGGTATCAACAGCTCTGCGGTTCGCGGCTATCCACCCGTCACAATGCCCCCTCCCGGGTTCTCACAGCCAACTGGTGACTATCCCATGAACCAAGGCTATCCCATGCCTACCAGAGACGGTCCTGTCATGACACACGGGCGCCAAGGTTCTATTGGATTCGAGAGCGCGCCCGGTACTCCTGGACAGCCGATTGGACGACCAGCACCGATAGGACGTCCTGGCAGCGTCAGTCATGGATATTCGCGTGATAAGGAGGAGGATACGCAGCATCTCGGAAGCCGTGTTCTTGTTGAAGACGATGAGCCATTGGGTGCAGATGCTGGTGTTGGCGGCATGCGTCATCAACCACTAGGACCTCGAGGCGGCTTTGCTGCAGGCCCTTTTATTGACTCGGGATTTCCAATGGGCCACAACCCTTGGGGTCCCATCAACAGCCCTCCGCAGCCTTTCCCTCCCGCTACGGCCCAGCAGCCATTTGCTCTACCGACATTTGGCAATCCAGGCTGGGGTCCTCCAAGCGGCCCACCAGGATTTCATGTTGGATCTCCGAGCGGATTGGGATCCATTCGCGCCCAGCCTCGCCACGTAACAGTGCGCCTGCTACTCTCACAGGCGTGCAAAGAGTTGACAAATTCGGCCACTGCCGACAAGGATGGTTACGTTGATCTGGCAGACATCAAGGGACATGTCAGTCTGGTGTCTGGTGACCCCAGCATCTCGGAACAAGACCTGTTAAACCTTTGCGATACTGTCGGCAGTCTGTCAAATGGTGGGGGATCCTTTGATGTGAAGCAAGATGCTGTGGGGCTCAAGAAGATACGATGGGTTCCTGACACGGACGAGGGGCTAAATCCTCACTTTCGGGCAGTTGGAGCTCCCGGTGAGATTGGCAGTCCTTTGGTAGGCCATGCCTCTTTGCGCGGGATTTAGGCAGATCTCGAAAAGATGCAGCACATGGGAACTGAAGAGAGCCCTTCTAGGCGGATGAACCTATTGGAACGGATCGGTGTTACCCCGTCGTCTGCTACGGCTGAGTCCCAGGCACTTCGCATTGCGATGGGCATGAATACCACGGATACTGCGCAGGCGTCGACAAATTCCCCCTTCGTCGGCTCGATAAATACACACACGCACAGAGACGATGCTTCTCTCTGGCAGAATGATCAGAGTACTATGAGAGGGACGCACAAAAAGGGTATCAGCGAAAACATTACATACAGCGGCTATCATGGGAATGCTACGGATGAAAGCAGTAAAGTGGACACCTGGGTCGGCTTTTACAACCCCCGCAAGAATGGGAGAAGATCTTTGGGCCCTTGATGCTGGATGAGATGCAGCATTTGAGCTTTTTTATTTTTGAAGGGCAGGGGAAGATACGAAAGGGGACCAACATTATGTCGTTACTGGACGTGACGACAAGCTATGAGATAGGCTACTATCAAAGTATCAAATCAGCATGGCGCTTGCGCGTGTTCTTGTGTGATTTTAGACGTGTGTGGGTTTATCATTGGGAGGGGAGACTCGAGAGTAGCAACTAGGTGCGAAAGCGTGTCGACATAAATACCCCCCGGAATAGTGTATTCAATCATAACATTTGTCAAGTCATGATGCGTTTGTTTTATTTCTCTTTCCTGGTGAGATGCTGAATGCGTGCGTCTAAGGTATCAAAATGCCCTTTCGAGGGCATCTGGTATTATATGATTTATAGTATTCATGTCGTTCGAACAGGTACCGGCACTTGTATTAGGCTGGAGCAGCCCAGACTATTTCCATACCGTAAGGTGCGATGATGCTATGTACACGCTTGTTCTTCTCGTTTATTTCAGGCAAAACACGTGAACTGTTGTAACATCTATAAGTCACAAAATGTCCGTTCCAATTCAAGTACCTTATCTAAATCAATGCTGCTTCTTTAAATAACATCAAATCCCCCCATTTCCTACCCGAGGCTCGCCTCAATCTCTAACGAAATCTTTTTTGATGATGCGTGCCTTTGCTATCTTCCCGACTGAAGAAGAAGCCGGCAAAGTCGCTGCCCACCCTCCCTTGACCTTTGTCCTTGATACTAATAAGGTACTGTAACGTTATGCCACACTCCCCAGTCTTTGTCCCTGTACCCACGGCTCGAAGAGCAACATGATGCGCCGAAAAACAAAATATGAAAAAGCAAGACATCAAAAAGTGCTGATCCGATTTCTCCTCCCTTTATGCCGTGTGTCACAAAAAAACATCGTGGCTGTTTCCCTGTTCTCTGACCACCTCAAGCCTGCTTGGTGCTGGGCCAGCGCCACGACCACGACCTCTTCTGGCTCTCTAAGACCGGGCCTGGTCGGCGAAGGGGTCGGGGCCCTCCTGGCGCATCAGGGGAGCTCGCGTCTCGGCGGCGCGGGCCTTTTTGGTCTGGGCTCGGGCGAGGGCAGTGGCCTCGGCGCGGGCCTCGAGCTGCTTCTGGTGGCGGCTCTCTCGGCAGCAGGCAAAGGTCAGGAAGGTGATGGCGACGACAATGGCAGTGCCGAAGACGATGGCGATGATGATGCCGCCGACGTCGAGGTTGTTCTTCTTCTTCATGCAGACGGTCTCACCCAGAGAGTCCAGGGAGCACATGAGGCCAGGGGCACAGTTGGCCTTGGCCACCTCGGTGGGGACACATGTAAGTGTTCGCAGGACACCCTTATCGGTGGAAATATCGCAGGACGACGTCTTGACGGTGGATGTGGCCATGCACTGGAGGGTGCCGTCGCGGACCCAGTGGGTTGGGAGCGGTGCGGGCTGGGCTGCTCGGGCATGGTGCGTCTGGAGGGGGCTGCCAAGGACGCCGCGGTATCGCTTCTTCAGGTCTCCCAAGTTGGAGAGCTCGTCGCATCGCCTCAGGGCAAATTTGGCCTCGGAGGCGGCCTCGTCGATGGAGCATCCGGCGTTGGTATAACAGGCCTCGAGGTCGCTATCGGTTTCGGCGTAGCCCAGGGTTGACAGGCAGTACTCGAGTGAGACGTGCTGGCCGCACTCAGAGTATCCGGCGAGCTGTTGGCTGTGCTTGCTGAAGCATCCTGCTTCCAGGGCGAGGGCACTGCCGCTGAGGGCGAGGGCAGCAGCAGAGAAGAACTTCATTGTGAGAGAGACTGGAGGGCAACCCGGTTGCTATGCTACTTCGGAGAGAGAGGGGAGGGGGGGATTGAGTTGTGAGCCGCAGCTAATATGATGTGCAAAATACAGCGGGACGGTGGGTCTCGTCGCGGCGAAGAACGAAAGGCCCGTGGAAAAGGAAAATGAAGGTATTCCAACAATGAGGTGACAAGCAGCAGGCTCGCTGAGAAGGAGAGATGAGAGATGAAACAAGGTGGAAGAGGTGGTAGTGCTGGAGCAAAATAGAAAAAGAAGCGGTTCTGCTAACATGAAAAAGGAGTCGAGAGGACTTGGTTTGACGGGAGCGGCACTTGTCCCCTTTCAGTTAGGGGTCTATAGTCAGCCTTGGGTCTGACTGGGGCTGGGTTGGAGCGTTCCAAACAAAAAAAAAACAAGGGGGGGGCAGATTTGGCCCCAATCTGTGCGTGCCAGAACTCGTTAGGGGAACAGCAAAGCCGCTGATGAGACGCTTACACGGCGCCGCCATCAAGGCTGTGCAGTTCGAAGTTCGAGCCACAGCCGCAATGACAATTCAATTCACACATGATCGCCCTGGGCGGGTGACTTTGGAGGGCCAGAAGAGGCTTGATTCCAGTGTTGATGGCACTACAGGACAGGGCAAGCTCGGTGCTCTAGGTTCGGGACTGGCCTCAATTTCCTATCGACGGGGAGCTTGGAGCTGAATCTACGATTGCTTGTTCCATTTTTAGCGACATGGTGGGTTAGCATATAGTGCCGGGCACATGTGAGGCATCGACCTCAAATCACTCACTCTGATGATACGAGACGGAGATTGTCTTTGGATGGCGGTGGATGAGATGATTTATACCTTTTTTTTACACCTCTTTCTCAGATTTTTATTGTTCCTTTGAATCTCTTTTTTTTCTCTACTATTCTTGCTTGTGTTTTTTATTTATTTCTTTTTTTGTGCTTTTTAATAGCGAGGCATCTTGCGGGTGCCGTATCAATCTAAAGCGGTGCATCCTCCTGACTCCATCTGAATCAGCGCTACCTGTGGCTCGCTAATAATAAACCACCCTTTCTTTTTGTCACTAATGCACGTCAATCCTTGTCTGGCCATTTTGCACTCTGCAGTTTTGCGCAGGATATTTTGCTCCATTGATGTGCTTATAACAGATGGCATTCGCATCAACATCTACGGCAAAGATACATGTATACGCTACAGTTGAATTGGTGCAGTATCTAGCATTCAAGCTTTCAAGCTGGCAATACCGAGCGCTATCTGACGGGCCCAGCTCCCGACGTGACGACGAGATGCTGAGCTCAAGGCAAGGTGTCATTTAATATGTCGGTACTCGTACTTCCCTGCCTGTATGAATAATCGGCATTGCTCAATCTGTAAGAAAGCCCAACCAGGTGGTGAATGGGCAGAGCTGCAGCAATCCAATCAGCGGGGACCAGCGTCTACGCTGCGTGAGTGTGGCTCGCCCAGCTAAAAAGTGTCACCTATCGCTAGCAAATTACCTGCAACGCTGAAAAGCAAGCGATATTACCGTCAAGGTATATACTAATCTTGCCTTGTTGATGACCCTTTTTTGTCTTGAGATTGAGAAACGGCGAAAGGGGGCTTTTGTGATTTGATAAGCAGAGTTTTTTGAGTGCATTACGTAGCGAGTGTTGCATTACGTACGTGGACCTGTTGTGTTTTTTTATGAATCTGAGACCCCTATGAGGATAGCGATGCTGCGACGACGTCATCGTTTGCGAGGCCTCGGGACGCTATGCGTACAGCTTTCCATGCTTTTTTGGCCGGAAGAGGAAGGAAATAATGTCGTTATAAGAGTCTAGATACAACCTTTTTTTCTTCCTTTTTCTTTTCTCCTTTCTCCATACCCATATACCATTTCTTTTTGAACTCTGTAAGCTTAACCCCTTCCTCTTTTACAGCCAACTTAACGCTAATTACAACGCAGGCTACCATAAGAAGCAAAAGTTCCATTCATCAATTTACGTTTTCTGTCGCAACGCAATCAATCCAATTCATCATGCCTCTCGTCGTGCCCGGCATCATGAGCAATTCCGACGACAAGACCCAGGTCTGGGCCAACAAGCTCGTCGGAAAGACGTTTTCGGAGACAGAATCCAATGAGACTGTACGTATGCATCATTTTGTTTCTTCTTCATTACCTATGCCCCAAGTCCTTGCTTCCATTCCATCTTCTTCATGATCATGCCACTTTTGTATCAAGTAGAGCGGGGGAGGCGAAAAACATAATGGCTAACATGTAGGACAGATGTTTTGCAAAAAGGACTTGCCAGAGTCTCACCGGATTCTCAAGCCGGGTTCGATTGTCACTAAGGATTTCCGGCCGGATAGATTGAATGTGCATTTGAATGAGGATGGAACGGTGTCGCATGTTGTTCATGGGTAGAAAGGAGCTGTATGTTAGTGCGTCGCTGCTATGAGCTATGAGGAGTCGAAAAGGTTGTGCACATGCGACCGACGAGATGCCAATAATACAGAAGAATAAACTATCCTATTTCATTTTTATTGACGTAAAATTACGGCTATGAATCAGTCAATTTTTTATTTTATTATATTGCTTCATCTAAACAAAAGCAAAGGAAAGCAGCGTCCATCATTGATGCTCCCCCCGCCTGATTGCATGTTTTTTGGCCATGGCTGTTTTTGCCCCGCCATTTCTCCCTGGCTTATCGATGGCGGGGCTGCTCCGATAAACCTGCACCTTGACTTGCCTTGTCTTGAAGCTGCGATTCGCTTTCCCTCAACCATAATCACATCGATCACCACCGCAAACGCAGCGATTTTCCCTCCTTTTTGACGCGCCTTTGCTCTGGGCAATTCTTTCTTTATATCCTCTATATTAATTCTTTTCATACTCCCGTATACTCCTCCAGTCAACCGCCAAAATGTTCAAAAAAGAGTGCGTCGATATGTTCCCTTTCTCCCTTCCCCTCCAAGCAAGCAAAAAACCAAAAGCAGACAGCAAATCCACACGAAAAGCAACAAAAGACACTCTTTAGCTAACTAACAATCTCAAAAATAGCCTCCCCGTCGCTCCCAAGCAAAAGCTCAAATCCTCCGTCCAGCGCTCCCTCCGCAACTCCCTCCTCGCAACGTACCCCCTCCTGACGCCCTACATCGACGAAATCATGCCCAAGAAGGGCTCCCTCGAGAGCATGAAGCTGCCCGACCGCAACACGCTCTACGTGCTCGACTCGGTGCCCCTGTTCTACCAGCAGGACGGCTCCGACCTGCTGCCGCACCTCAAGCTCGTGCACCGCTTCCCGCAGGCGTTTCCCAGCATCCGCATAGATCGCGGGGCGATTCGCTTCGTGCTCTCCGGCGCGACGCTCATGGCGCCCGGTTTGACGTCCAAGGGAGGAAGACTGCCTGTGGAGGGCGCGAAGCCGTTGGAGGAGGGCAAGGAGATGGAGCAGGGGATTGTGGAGGATGGGCGGTGGAGCAGGGAGTTGGCCAAAGGGGAGCCGGTGGTGATTATGGCGGAGGGCAAGGAGGAGGCTTGTGCGGTTGGGATTTTGGTTGCGGGTACGGATGAGGTCAAGGCGAAGGGTAAGGGACCCGTGGTGGAGGATGCGCATTTCTTGGGAGATGGACTGTGGTGTTTGCATGCGTAGATGGAGGGTTTGATTCGCGGTGTTTATACTGGTTTTTGTTTATATATATATTTGGGATTGTACAGAATAAGATGGCACATGTATAAATTTCTCATTTGCTGCTACCTTGATTTCTTTCCTGTCCTCAATGATATGGAGTATTGGTCGTTCAGGTTTGTCGAAGCAAGTCCTTGGACGTTCAACACCTACTCATACTGGTTTAAACGCTTTTAAATATCGAATTGTTTAAATGTTATTACTGAGCCGCTAAATACCATAGTCTAAATAATATTTCATTCTATCATTCTGAACATTGTTAGTATCAAGTGTAGCATCCGAGGTTCTTTCTCCATACCTTTTCGATTAAAAACCGTAAGGCTCATAGACAGTCATGCTAAAGTTTGTGATCCAAACGATTTCTTGCACGAAATCGCGTCTCTGTTTGCAGCTGATCCGACTTCTAAACCCAAGCTGGATCCACAACTCTCTTGACTGATATTCTAGGATGATGATTTTCCCGCTTTCTTCTTCTTCTTTTCTATGGCTTCCGCGTACTGGGCATGATGACGAGCAATGGCTGCTTCTCCGACATCTTCTTGGTGCTTTTCAATAAAGGCCTGAACGTCCTCCAAGTTGTACTCGCCATCAGGGTTCTTGAGGCTCTTCTCCGGCACAATTCCAAAACTCGTATCATCTTCGAGGATAATCTTCTTTAGCGCTTTGACAAGGCACGACCTGTAAAGGATGTCTTTGTGGTCAGTGGATTTAGGCTCTGGTACACTACCCTTTATGGATGTATTCCAGATAAAATCTCTTTGCCTCTCAAGGAGAAACTCCTTGCGCCGAGTGTTAAACTCTTTTTCAACGCCGAATACAGAGAAAGCCTCCTCCGTCACTTGCTCCCTAGTATATCTGCGGTCCGGAAATTTCCCAAGTCGACGGCACTCTGGGAGAAATTCGTCGACCCATTTCCTAAAAACAGGCCGATAGTTCATGCGCCGGCGGTCGTTTGCTTTGAGCTTCTTTGCGTCGGGCTCTTGTGCAACGGGGGATACCCACATCAGTCGACAACGAGTAGCGTAGTCAAACATGTCTTCGACACGGGAGAAAGGCTTGTCCCAGTATCCATCCATGGGCATATCCAGAAACTCCATGACTTTGGCTGGATCGGACGAGAGGAAGATTCTGGCTCGCTTCCTGTCAGACTCTTCAATCTCGGGGACTCTAAGCCACAGGGCGCTGTCATCGACTGTCAGACCGTACCCTCTGATTGTTGATCCTAAGAGATTCCACAGGTCCCCATGACCGTGCTTGAAAAGCATCCAGCGTAACCTGTGCTCTGTGTCGCATACTCGGACATCGATTTGGATGTACTTTTTCTCAGACTCTTTGTTGACATCTTTTTCATCTGCCGGCCAAGGGATAGCCAGACTACCTGCAGGCTCATTTCCTCCTGCAGTAATTGATCTCTCTGCTCCAAGGGCTTTTGATATGGTCTGAATTGCATATGCGCCCCTGGAAGCCTCCGGTTTTGGTGAGGCCAGTAGAAAATCGATATCTCCAAAGTCTGTTTTACCTGGGCCCTCAAGAGGAGACTCCACGCAGGAGTACAGAGTGCGGAGAATCACTTCGCATTGGCTTTTGATGGCTTCATAGACTTCTTTCGGCATTCGGGGAGTTAATAGTGGATTGACTACTGAGGAGAATGCTGAGCCACCCATGTTGAGAAGCTGTCGGCAGCGCCTATTTTTCTTTGACTATTTTCCAGCCTTGTACAATTTCCGAGCGTTATCTGGTGTAAATACCACCAGATGTTTTCAACGTGTTTGAAGTGTTGAATGGGATTCTGTTCCTTGAGCAGTTAGCAAGTCGGCTCTCGGTTTCAGCGTGGGTGATACGACAGCCCAAAGTAGAGCTTAGGAGAGGCTTTATAGCTCTGAAATCGTATCATGAAGCATCTCAACAGCTAGTCTCTGAATCAGGCCATATTTTGCGATATGACTCACCAGTAAGTATCCTGAAACGATGAGTTTGATGCGTTTATCCAAAAGACATGAGCTTCGCAGTGTTGCGACAGCGGATTGAATGACTGTACTCGGTACAATGACGACGAGTGTGCAAGAGACTGTCGCAAATGTAGCTTGAAGGAATGAAGCGAAAAATAGAAGCGACGAAGCGAATGATTTAATTTTACTTGTGCGCCTAAGGCAGCAAAAATGCAGGGGCGCTTTTGGGAAAGAAGCAGAGGAAGAGGAAGTTGGAAGGCTCAAATTGGTGTTGCTTAGGATGGTTGGAGCAATAGCAGCTGATGCTCTGTAAGTGCATGTAGCCTCAGGTTGTTCTTGTTTACACCGATGCCCCCGCAGTGACCTGGGGCTTACCCTGGATTTGATGATGGATTCTTTGGGATCAAAGAAGAAGATTGGTGATATGAAGACAAGAGGCATGAATCGAGGATTTTTATGAAAGAATGGAACAAGTAACCGATCATTATTTGCTCCGAGTTAGGAGAGAATCAGCTAATTTGTGAATCGCTTGCCGGGGTGCAAATCTGGCTGCGAATCATTGACTCACGTCTTCCATGCTGCACCACTGCAACCACTACCTGCAACCAAGCAGCCAAGCCGCATCGTCTCTTTTCTCTTTCTTCTAGGGTCTTTATTTCCCTCTATTTTAGCTAAGAAAAAGACTTAATATGGCAGTTCGAAAAGAGATAAGCAGCAAGGCACGGCAAATCACACCAGCCTCATCATACCACCTCCCAGCCCCCTAGCAATAATTCACAGATTGGCTATATTTATTCACAAAATGTTGCATCTCTTACATATATTCTTCCACATATACCTGCAATATGACAATGAATTATGAACCTTGAGACAATAGTATCAGCCTCAATAACATGGCTCTAGCTGATCCTACGTCTTGTAGTAGCATACACCGGACAACACCGAACATACGAAGAGTAAAAGAACGTTGCGCTACAACTGATATCGAATCAAGTGCCTGGGATTTGATATAGAGGAATTCTTTCCACATCTTTCCACAGCATTCTGTGGTGTGGCGTGGCTATGCAGAGTACACTGTTCAACTGAACCAAACATCATCCTGGTATGGGTTTCGTGGTGGAGATGACTGCGGCTTTGTTTCTATAGGCAGCGACAAGGCAGGATCAGTTGTTGTTGATCCAGCCTTGTCGCTGCCCGTGTTCCCCCACCCCGCATGCGTACATTGAAAAAGAGCGAAACTTTGAACGCGACGTGACTTGGCAAACCGCGTCAAAATAAAGTACGCGAGTCGTCCAATATTGTCCGGCCAAAAACGGAGCCAGCATATTTTATATTTATTAAACTAATAATATCTCTGATGCTTTATTCTTCTTAGCTATATTCTGAGCTGCTATAACAATAGATCTGGATTATCGCAGTGTCTTTCAACGATCTGCATGATTGATGACGAGATTTTAAGACTTGAACAGGGCATCACCGGGGAATATGAGTACATATAGGGTCAGAGGCGTGCCCGCCGACTGGGGTGATCAACGATTGCAATCTTTCCTGAATGATCAAGAAACTGTTACAGATGCGGTGATTCAGTCCCTCGCTCATGATACTAACGGTATATGTCAGGTAGCAACAACGACTTTTGTGAATTTACCTTCTCAGCTTCAGCATGCCCATAGCTGGTCCATTCCAATACCGAGGACGCCTAATACTAAGCGTACCCGCAAACAATATCTAACGATAGATAAAGATTTTCATGGATTGACTACGCTTTACACACCATCTTCAGAAGATCATAAGATAGAGTAAGTATATAAGCTAATGGGGCGACCTGTAGCTAACGCTTACAGTATTATTGCATTATCAGGCCTTGGAGGCCATGCTTTTGGCTCGTTCAAGGAGAAAGGTGGAAGTCATATGTGGTTGCGCGACTATCTCCCTTACGACCTCACCTCGGAAGATAAGCCGATAGCTCGGGTTATGATCTACGGCTATGATTCGACTGTTTCTGAGAGCAAGAGCATGCAGAATCTAGAAGATTTCGCTACCGTGTTTAATGGTAGCCTACAAACCCTAATGAATACTGCAACAATTCGGCCGATCATTCTTATCGGTCATAGTCTGGGGGGACTAATCATCAAACAAGTGAGCTACACTTTAACGCCCAAACTTTCGTTCCTGATGTTCATCACTTAAACAGGCCCTTATATCGTTATCGGGATCGGAAAACAAAGAAAGCCGGACACTTATCCGAGCTGTATATGGGGTGGTCTTCTTTGGAACCCCACACCATGGCATGGACATCAGCTCACTGATTCCCATGGCTGGAAACGGGCCAAATCGTTCCTTGATAGAGTCTCTCAGCCACAATAACTCGCAAATCCTTACTATGCAGCATCGAGAGTTCCATAAAGTCTTGGGAGATGAGGGTGAATCAGAAGTCTTCTGCTTTTACGAAACCCTAAAGTCACCAACAGCGCAACAAGTGAGTTTTCAAACAGAACTCTCATGTCCGATAAACTCATTAACTGTGATTAGGACCAATTTGGCGGCTGGACAATGACTGGGCCTGATGCATTTTTAGTCACTAAGTCTTCAGCTACACACTGTCGTCCTTGGGAAGATGGTGCTGAGAATATCTGTGCCCTTGCTCGTACACACTCTGAACTGGTTAAGTTTAAACCAAACGACTCTGATTACGACATCGTAAAAGGAAAAATTGAGGGTATTTGTAAACGGGCATTTGTAGCGCGAGGCGTCACTTTCGATCTTTACTGCAAAAAATGTCAGTACCAGTACCCCCCTTCATCTCGCGAGTACTTCTGTTAAACAGTATAGGTGAGGAATATGGACATATGGCTGACGCCCCTCACTGTGTCGACTGTAAGTATTGGTGCCTCAACCAGCCTCGCGAATATTAACATTATATAGGCAGTGAATTTGGGCATACTCAATATGATGTTCACTGTTGGAAATGTCAGTGCAACTGCCTCTCATTATCTTACTAGTACTAATATCAACCCATATAGGCCATAGGAGTGGACATTATGCCAACCAACACTGTTATAAATGTCAGTACTGGTGTCTCCTTTTACTTCTTGAGTCTTGATATTAAACGGTATAGGCGACTCATTCGGACATTTTATAAAAGATTGCCCAATGCGGTAATTGGTCACGAGGATTGAATATAATGTAGTAGTTGCTGCTTGAAACTATGGGTGGATCTAGAGCGATTGGGTATTTAACAATTATTTTCATGCGTCCTTCAAAAGTACGTTTGCTGAACACTACATATCTTATAAGCAAGCTCAGGAATTTTACAAAGATGTGTAAAGAGGCTTTCTCAATAAGTGACAAGTCAAAGACCTTCCTATATACACAAGAAGTAAACTATATACAATAGTACTGATGGTATGCACAGTAGCCACCGCCCGCTCTTCGGCCCAACCACATAAGTCCATTAGACTTATCCCTGAATCATTTATTGGATATCTCCTTTCCAGTAGTAGACCCAGAAGGTGTTGCCATCGCCAGAGAATGGCTCAGTTCCGAACTGGTAGCCTTCAAAGAAATTAATGTTCCGTTTCTTTCGCCAAGGCAAGTAATCGACTTACTGAGAAGGTACTGGCTGCCAATGGGGTATCCTCGGTTTGTAGCCATCCAGTTGTAGAATGCCTTGACATCGCCGTTCCAGTTCTGAACCTGGTTGTAAGCAACAAAGCTGTAGACTTGCATCTGGCCATTCCAGCCGTAGTACAGCTGCCAATCTTGGCCGTTGACGTTGACATTGCCCTGTGATTGACCAATGGGGTAGATGTCACCATATCTGCCAAGCCTGTTTCATCATATTAGTAACTGAAAACACAATCGGCTCTTTTTCCATCTTACCAGATCATAAGCTCAAAGTCTCCATAGTAAGTTGGGTGGTTAGGGTCGGAGGCAGTGAACAAGTCGTAGGCGACATCAGCGCGCAAGTTGTTTCCGGTATAGTTCCATACGGCACCGGTGGGCATGCTGTTGATGCTGCTGACCAACTGCTTTGCTCCGATATTTCTTTGCACGTTTGGGAATGACTTGACATTGGAGGGGCTGCCAGACCATCGCCAGTCAGCGTGCCACGCCGTGGCATCAGTGATCCAGTCATTCGTGATACAACCGAATCCTCCAGCATCTGCAGATGACTCGCCCCAGAGATTGTTACTGATGGTGAAACCGTTGGCCGAGATGGTCGAGTACTGGTCGCAAAGAGTTTGCGCAGCTACGGCTGGCAGCAACGCAGCCAAAAATGAAAAGGCCTTCATTGTGTTTGTCAAATGAATGCTATCAAAGAAGTCTACGCTATGCAATTGAATGCCTGCTGAATGAGCGTGAGGATCAACTCTTTAATTTGTCTGGCATGATAGCCTCTTATACCCAAAGACTGAGAGATTAAAGCCATTACTGGTGTGAGTATAAGTTCTTTGCATAGCCATTCCATCACCCAATTCCAACAAACATGGCAGGTGGAATTGGTGAATAAAAGTCTAGACACTTCCAATCAGGGACTTTCCTAAACTTGATGGATAGATTAAGACAAGGCCCATTCGGCCGACGCCGAGGGTAACACTCTGATCCGGCTTAATCCGTAATTAGACGCCGTTACCCCTGGTTTAGTTGGCACTTCATTTGGGAACGGGGGCGGCACAACTGACAGCGATCCACTCTTCAATACACATAAAACATCAGGTGTATCAAAATAAAGCTGGGCTATAGAGCACGTGGCTTGCTGACTCGAAAAATATACCTCTTAGGAAGTTGGACGACTAGGCTAAACAAACTTCCCTTGGGGATGTCGAAGCATCAGCCTATTTGCAAATACTCTGACAGAAATAAGCCAACCACCGAGTTACAGAGCTTTATACGACTTTACATATGGCAACTAAAAGTGTCTAATAGGTGATGGGACTCTTGTGTTGACTTGTTATAGTTATCCTTTTAGCTTTTGAGAAACTTAAAGCTTAGTTGCGAGTCAGGGTTATTAAAGACGATATTCGACAATCATCCGGAAATCAGCAACATAGTGTGATCCATGTAACCCATTGGCGCTTCAACCAGGGTATTACAAAGATGTCACCCATAAGCAAGGGCAATTACAAAAGAAGAAAGACGTTAACCCAGCAAGCAGTAGCGGCCTATTCAATTTGGCAACTGTTTAACTAACTCGTGAAAATTGCCCATCATAGCCCATTCTTCTGCCAACGGAAATGAATCCGTCCCGAGGTCCCTATCGACTATCTAGCCGCCAGGCGCTTCACCTATTGGCGGGATAAAGTGGTCAAATAGCCAGTTATGTAAAAGGTATACTTCTGTTTCCGTAAATTGCTCATTGATGACTATGGCCTGCCATTTTCAGCAAATAGGTGCTCAATAGTATGATTGTAAACTTACGTTCCGTTCATCGAGGCACTCGTGGCGCTAACTGGTTTGGTACCATGTAATTTGTAATCGTTATTAAACGGGCCTATTGCACCATTTTCTGTTGTTAAAAGTTCCAACCCATACTCTATATAGAAGATTAGACATAAGCTTACGCTGCTGTGCGGCAGAATTGCGGCCAAGCAATCACCTGGTAATACACAATGACTTTATCAAGAGTCGCCGAAACTGCAAGTTGCCGTTTCTATCTGTTTGCTACCATAACCGTTACCACTTATTAGCGTCAAGGATATGCATTTCTGATGCCCCTCTTTTAGAAAGAAGAGTATAGATGCCTTTGTCCCGAGTGACTCGAAATAGGAGTTGTATCCCCAAACCTCATCTCACGATACTGTGTCTCATATTCTTCAACTCTAGTCGTCCGGAATCATGGTCACATCAAGCCGTCCGATCCCTTCGATTTCTGCCAAAATGCGATCGCCTGGCTTCAACCAACAATCTCCATGTACATGGGCTGACCCTGATGGGGAACCGGTAAAGATAATGTCACCTGGCTCGAGGGTCATGTAACTGCTGATGATGCTCAGCTGCTCATCACACTTATACAGCATTTCGCTAGTAGACGCATCCATCATGGGCTTATCGTTGACGGATAGTCGGATGCGTAAGTCGGCTGTATCAGGCAGGAACTTGGCCGGCACAATGAAAGGCCCGCATGGTGCCATGGTGTCTTGTGCTTTTCCGCGCATGAGATCGATTTGTAGTTCGTTGCCAGCTGGAATCAAGTCCCTGCACGAGAGATCCAGTCCAATGCTGTAGCCAGCGATGCCCTCAGCTGCTTCTTCCCGACTGGCATGTCTCAGCTTCTTGCCCACTACCACGGACAACTCACACTCCCAGTCGAATTGCTTCGTAGATCCGGGGATTCTGACAGTCTTTCCTGGTCCGACAAGACTCGTAGTGGGAGGTCTGATGAAGAACGGCATGCTCGCCCACTTTTCCGCAGTTAGACCCATCTCCTTAAGATGTCCAGTGTAATTTGCACCAACTGCCACCAGTTTGTTGGGATAAATGATGGGAGTCAGGAGCTGGGCATTGTCCATGCTGATTCGGCTTCCACACGACACATTCTGATCCGTTCTCATGTTCTGGGCAAATTCTTCCAGTATTGGTAAAGTGTCTGGCCATGATCCCAAAATGTCTTTGACCGTTGTATACTTGAGCGAAGGAAGTGAATCAGAAAGCAAGTAGAAACTGTCATCAACCCCGATGGCTGCGACGGGCTTGTCTTCGATGCAAAGTGTAGCAAGGGTAAACCTCGACATGTTTAAAGAATTAGAGGAGGCTATGATAAACTTATTGCATGATTAGGAGGACTCTTATGTCTTCACTAGGTAGTCTACCGCTGTCGCTATTCTGAGACTTGGAGAATAGAGCAACAGTTGGGAACGTAAAAAGTTTACCCTGCGCTGAATTTTAACATCAATCGTGTCAAGATACGGAGTAGGCATGCCGGGGCTTTCTCCAGACGACAGGTCGGGAAGCTCCCGCGTGGCGCAGAACTTTGAACTTGATGCATCATTTGCACCCGCGTAATCCACTGCATATGAATGGGGCGATGCTTAACTCGAGCCATTCTGTAATGGGAATACAACTGGCGACATTTCATGCTAAAGGGCAGAATCTCTTTGGCGTACGCCGACTATATGAAGTCTTAAATTTTCTTATTCTATAGCTATATACTTGGGCATAAATATAAAAGCCGCCAATGGTGCCTCGGGTGATTTGCAAGAAGCTGGCTTATGCTGATGGATCAGCCTGAATATTTCCAAGCCAGTATTCATCTCGATCGGGCTTATCAGTCCATTCATGCTCTTCATCCTCAACATTAAGGCGTACTATTTTCCCGTCTGGGTCTTCGCAAGCCAATACCCACGACTTAATGCCCATGAAAATAGGACTTCGCTTAACATTCATTGAGTCGAGCCACGCCGCCCACTCGTCGAGATCTTTGCGGGTGGCGACCCCATACGTGACGGGATCCCACCCTCTTTGCGCCTCTGCTTGGGCTGGTTCATAGCGGACCTCGACTATCAACCCAGTAGGTTCATAACGGAACATCTTTGCGAATAGTTTGTGATCGGGGGTGAAGTGGTCCCAGCGAGGTTGAGGAGTGAACGGAAAGACTTTGGTGTAGAAGTCGTGGGTCTTTTGGACAGAAAAACATGCCAACTTCAAATGGTTGATGCCACGAAAAGAGCGCGGCATGGAAACTGGACTGGATTCGTTGGCCATGGTGGATGATTGCTGACTATCTTCAAAGGGAGAGGGTTGTAAGAGTACGGCTAGAATGGCACTTATAGGATTCAGGGAAAGTAGTGACATTTTATCCCCTGGCTCAGATCCTAGCACAGCTGTGTCCTGTTACTCTGGAGCCGAGTGCCACGAGTTTGGTTAGCCAGCTTAACTGAAGAGGGTTAATAACATTATTAGAAGATTCTACATTGTTATACCGGTTGTTAGCCAGTCCCGAAATCGAGATGACTCGGGACTCGGCCACTTGACGGGAGCGAGCCGTCCGTGTAAGCCGTATGGGTCCGGGTTGTTCCCGTGCTCCACTGGCTGAGTCCACTACTTGAAGCTGCTAATGCATGTGTTAAGCCCGGGAACAGCCCGAAGAAAAGGAGTAAGTTATTGCAATGCCTTCTCTTCCTCCTCTTTGTTTCCATTGTTCCAACTACCGGTAACCTTCCGTATCGTCGGAATAGCCCGAGCCGCATTTCGGGCTCTAATACGAAGAAGCGCGGGGACTCAATTGAACTCGGCCACTGAGCTCCAACGTGATGATATCACACAACAGGCGAAGACGCGTAGCCCTCGCCTGTGACAGCTGTAGGGAGCGTAAAGTTCGATGTGATGGGGCGAAGCCTGTTTGCGGGACATGTCGGGCGAGAAACCGACAATCTCTGTGTGTTTACCAGTTGCTCGGCGACAATGGGAAGGCAGGGAGCGAAAGAGAGTAAGTCGGGCGGAATTGACAAGAAACACCCCAAGATATCTCCCTTTCATCATCTCACATCCTTGCCATTCAGATATGTTCAGTCACTACTCGCACGAATCAACCTCTTAGAGCAACAGGTCCGGCAAAAAGGTGATGACTGCCATAGAAATTCACCAAATTCCACGCGTTCTACAGCTCTAGCTACAGATAGTCGAGGCATTTCATCATCATCAGTACCTCTATCTTCTATCGGTGATACGCGGTCTCACCGTAGACGGAGCCATGTGGCTTTTGAGACGTCACCTCCAACTATACCCTCGCAGCATGACGTCAACCCAGTCAATGCAATGGGCGCCGCTGTGCCGGCGAGAATGGTGAGCCTCGACGTAAATAAGCAGTATTACGGACAGTCCTCGATCGTTTCACTTTTACAGCAGGCCAGCCGTGATAGAACGCGGACGGAGAACAGTCAACATGTTGAGATGCAGCAAGCTAGAGAAGCTCGCCACATACCGTCTACTAACACTACGGCAAAATCAGCATCGGTTGGGCTGCTCCATGACCAATTTTGCCTTCCGCCTAGACGAATGACAGATGCCCTCCTCGAGGTTTACCGGAAGGAAGCACACATATTTCATCCTTGGGTACACTTTGACAGTTTCATGGCTCTCTATCGCTCGATCTGGTCGGGGGATGACTTGGAGGAAGTATCCGATTTGCCGGATATTGGACTCGGAGGCAGCAACTGCCCGACAACCGTCTTCTATTGCGCATTGAATGCAATGCTAGCTGAGGCATGCCAATTCTCTGTCATACCTCCACAAGACAAGAGATCCAGCTCGACAATGTTCTACGAACGAGCTCGGACGCTCTTACAAGTCGACTTACTCGATAGTGGCAGCTTGTCCCACATACAGACGCTGTTGCTTGTGGCACAGTATTTGCAAAGTACAGAATTGGCGACCCAATGTTGGAATCTGGTGGGCATGGCGTATCGCATGTCTGTGGCCATCGGGTTGCATCACGACGAAATGTCTGCCGGCTTGAGCTCACTGGAGAGGGAGATGCGAAGACGAACATGGCATGCATGTCTCCAGATGGAATTGTAAGTTATCCATCCCGTGATTTTCACATAAACACATGGGCTTTATGCCACATTCTGACAACTTTAGGATCATGAGTATGACTATGGGTCGCCCGGCTCAGTTGGGAATCGAGCACAACGTTCCGCTGCCTCTGGCAATTGACGATGAGTACCTGTCTCCTACTCGGTGCGACTGTCGTCAACCTGATAGTATTGTCTCTCGCAATCAGTACCTAGTGGAGAGCTTGAAATTAGTACAAGTTCTTAGCCAAGTTCTCTCCACCATGTACAATGCGACGAGGAATGAGGAGCAGAAGGTTTCTAGTGGTGTCCCAATCAGTACGATGCGGGCCAAGCTCATGGATATGCTACAAATTGAAGCCTCATTGGATAACTTCGAGTCATCTCTACACCCGAGTCTCAAATGGGACGTATATTGCTCGAGCATGGCAGCAAATGATGTATTTGTACGCCAATCTAATGTGCTCCATGCAAGGTATGAAGAAAATCCACCTGTTTTTCACGACATGTGGTGCAGAGTGACTAAAGCGACCATTTAGACTCTTGCATCTCAAATTGCTGCTTCATCGTCCAGCACTAAGTCTCTACTGCTCTCCCAAGGGTAACAGCGGTCCGTCATCGGAAATAACATCTGGTTTAAATCGGTTTCCAAACCCTTATCCGGCTGATTCTGCGGTAGCTTGTGTCAAAGCGGCTTGTGGGTTGATTGACGTGATAGATCGAGCAGTCGCAAGTGGCTCTGGTGGTGCTTGGTGGTACTGTGTCTTTTGTGAGTTCTAGATTTATGATACCCTTAGGGATATTCTTCTTTTAATATGTAGATTGCTGATTTGAACCATAAGATCTTATATCTGCTAGTCTTGTCTTGGCTTTCGCAGAGTCTCGGGATGAGCTGGTGACCCGCTTGAAAGTGAATACCTTGGACTTGGCTTGGTCAAAGTGTGATCAGGCGCTGTGTCGAATGGCAGAACTAATCGATGGACCTGTGCAAGATTATGCTACTGCCTTGCGCGAGCTGGGGAGGCGTGCCACAGAGCGAGGTAAGTCGTGGTCACATTTACATTCGCAAGATTATATCCTTGAGTCCTCAGTAGTATTTCACTTTCTGACTACCTGTATCATTATTCAGACAGACAACAGCCTGAAGCGAGTCAAAGCGAAAAAGGGCAAGGCGGGCCAGAACAAGCTCTCACAAATCAGTTTGGGTCTACTGGAAAGACTGCGCTACTATATGAGACTCTTCACAATCAGCTAGGAAGGCAAAGTCATACTTTTATGGGGGATCTGCTACAAGAGTACCTTGATCCACCAGCGTTGCAGAATTGGGATGCGATTCTAAATGACGTTGGGCTCTCAGCCTATCTTGCCCCCGAGAGAGAAGACTGCCCTATACCACCGGGCTTGTATTAGTGAATAAATGAGGTATAAGAACGAGAACTTCCTTTGCATACGCAGCTGGTACCATAGCTGCATATCCCTGCTGCTGTGTGTTTCTGTGGGTATCTGAGTATGTAATTGTATATGCCCCGAATAACTGGACAGAGGAAGTTTACGTCTATGATGAGGCATTCAGTTCTGTAACCAACTTATTTCTAAGTGAAGCCTCTTTTGTGTCTTTCCGTTCAACACACAGTGTCCAATTAACTTTTGTCGTTGAGTATTAGGCTGACTTCAGGCGTAGAAAGCGATTTACCATGCGAGCTACGTCACCACAGTGCCATGAATAAAGGTTAAATGGTTAGATTCGCTGCCTCGCTTCATTTTACAATCTTTTGAGGTCAAGCCCTCACTGCGAATATTAATCACGACTATAGACAACTATGTAGTATCATCTGCTTTTTTATTACACCTTTTGTCTCGGAGAGGAATCGTATATATTCCATCAGTCTTGTGGATAGATAGCCAAGAGAAAGTGTCAAAGTTTGGACTAGGTTTTGTGGCTTACAAAGGAGTTGAATATAAAACAAAGAAATTTTCTCTCTATTTTGCAAAATAATTTAGAGATGAAATCAGACATTTCTAGGTATCTAGCTGTTCAATAGCAGCTTACATGCACAGACTATCCGCTTTTCTACCTTATCATCATGAAGCGAAGCGTTCGCGAAGTTGACCCAGATGGGGATACTCTTCTCATCCTACGCAATCCTGATGCACCGTTTGCAGTTATAGGCTTAGATTATGCTACCCTTTGGCCTGACCTACTGCCAACTCATACACCGCCCATGAAAAAGACCGAACGACAGTTAGGGGGCATCGAAAGGTCTCTTCGTAAGCCGCAGATTCAGCAGCAGAACAAAGAAGAGCTACGATTACGACTCTCATCAACGCATCTTACTTTTGCGTCTGCGTACTTCAAAGCAATGATGTCCAACGACTGGAGAGAGACCAGACCTGAAGAAGGGTATTCTTTCGTCGTAACTGCCGAAGAATGGGATCAGAAAGCATTACTCATTCTAATGAACATAATCCACGGTCAGACGACAAAGATCCCCCGAATAATGGGTATTGAGATGCTTGCCAAAATGGCTGTTCTTGTCGATTATTACAAATGCCACGAAGCGGTAGAGTTCTATGCGAAAACATGGATCAATAATCTGATAGAACCACTTCCTACTTGTTACGGAAGAACGTTCGTGCTTAGGTTATGTATATCGTGGGTTTTTTCAGAATCCGAAGTTTTCCGAGAGTTGACAAGGGCCGCCTTATATCAGAGCAGAGGTCCCATTCATTCACTAGGTTTACCCATACCAGGAGACGTCATTGGTATGCAGGCATCATGAATGGTTATCATAGCACAACGGCTAACTCTTTCTCTAGATGCTCTTGAGATGAAGAGGCAGAATTTTGTCTCTGAGGTTATTTCCGAGCTACACGACTTGAAATCTCGGTTATATAAGGATAAAGGGCATAAGGATAAGGGAGCCTGTTCCTTCGAATGTTCTTCAATTCTACTGGGTGCTCTTATCAAAGGCATGAATACAATTTGTATTCTTGACCCCCCATTATTCGAATCGCTTGAAGGCTATAGTATCATGGCACTCGAAAAAGCTGTGCTAAGTATCCAGGAGCCAAACTACAGTTCGATGCCTGATTCCTACAGCCTTTGCACAGGAGAAACACATACTCGTATGTATGCGAAGTATGCGAAGTATGCGAAAAAGCTTCACAGATGTACACTCTCTGAGAAAATTAGGGGAATCATCGATCCAAAGAATGAGGCAATTGTTGGGCTAGAGTTGAATGCCTTTACTAATCAAAGCCAAGCCTGAAGACAGGCTGCCGGTTTCGTTGGTTGGAAGGGCCATTGATCTATCCTGTAAGTTGGCTATCCAGCGCCCCAGTGGTTGCGTGGAGTTCAAGTGCCGGAACAGGATGCAAAGAAATGGATTGCAGTCTTTTATCCACGGGCACTACTGGCACTTACTTATTAGATAGTGGAAAGGGACCCGGTCCCTTGAGTATCTGCTACTTTAGCTATATTCCTCTAGTGCCAACTACTATAGTTACTTTCTTCTAGTATCTGCTACTATGGTCACTTTCTTCTAGTATCCGTTACTCTCCTCTAGTATGTGCTACTATGGTTACGTTCCTGTATGACTGTCAAAGGCGAAATAGGTCTCTTGTGCGGTCAAACTACTTCGGACTGTAATCAGCCCCTAAGTTCAGATTGGAGCTGTGGTCGTACAAGAAGGAGGTCATGTGCTGTTCTAGGGAAGTGCTGGAAACCCGGGCAGCTGCATGTTGCCAGGCTGAAATACAACAGCAATTCAGGCTGGCACTCCAATACTGCATCCTAAGTGGTTGCGGTAGTTTAGGCAGCAAACTCAGGTTAGGCATCCGAGAATGAGCAAATAACTACGTCGATGGGCTGGCACCACTGCACGTTTAATTGATGTCCAAGTTGATTTGGCACTACTTTACTCAATGTTATCTTTTACAGCGTTCAAAACATCACCTCAAGGCATCTCTTTTACAAACAAGGCTCTACCAGCTACAAAGCTATGAACGGGATAACCGCAGGCGTTAATAAAATGAAAATGGGCCAAAAAATTCATATTGGTTTCGGAGACGATGATATTCTAGATGAAGTTCCGTCTCGCCCCTCGGACAATCTCGCAACAGAGTCGCACGACACTCCGCATTGTCCAGATGAGGTTCCGTTCCGCCCGCCAGGCAATCTTGCAGCAAAATTGCCCGACACTCCGCGCTATCTCTTTCGCGTTTTTTCAGATGCGTCCGAAGGGGAGAATAGCAGCAAATGCATGAAATCTGTCGACGCGGTGAACAAGACTTTTGAAGACATTTTTGCACGAGACCCCTTAACTGTTGCTTTAACCCTCAACGAGCATCTTAGGTGGCAGAAAAAAAAATCATACGGAGATCCTTTTATATCATGGACAACTTCGCTTCTTAACGCAATTCAGTATGCTATTTACAAGCGTAAGAAGGAATCTACCAAATTGAGCGCGATTTCTCTGTGCATTGTTGACACTACTTTATTCCCCAACGGAGTGTTCATGGAAGACCTCGACCTCATCGAAAAATTCATTGATAAAGGCCATGCGTATAATTGGGGAAACAGAGGTCTCGACAATCTCGGCCAGTTGCGGAACAAACAGCATCAGACGTATTCTGGTGTTTACTACTTTGGAGAGTACCTTTCACAGGGGCAAACCAATATTGAGGGTCGTTCATGCACAGTGACTTGCGATAAGATTATTAACAGCAAATTGTTTGCCTTTATGCCTCAATTCGAAGACGAATTGAAAGACGAAACTCCTCTACGTTGGGCAAACGCAGTCATCGAGCTTCGACAACCATTCTACATTAAGAAGCAAAAAGAGATGAAGGATTCAGACTTTAGCAATGCAACGACAATAGCTTTAGAATTTGATACGGCATGGTTTCTGCCTATGCTAGCCAATTTACTAGCTCTAAATCCTCGAACGGCTAGGGATCCTAGAATCATAGGCTGGACATGGGAGCATTTCCGCGGTGCGTGCCGGTCCTGAAAGGGTAATGTCCTGATTTGCTAACAAGGGATCAGAGGAGTTAATGCACCATTTATCACCTAAAGTCACGAACGTTGTGGCCAATGACAACATTCCCGAGGTCCTCCATTTTGGGAAGATTATTCATGGTATTAGGGAATACTACTACACTAGGTCTGTTGCTAGGTTGATGAGTTCTATGGAAGAGACTACAGGTACACTCCTTATCATCAATTGCGTTACCATAGTATACCAAGGCAGATTTCCGAATGCTAACGCTTCAAATTCCATGCTAGATATTATTCGTCACTTTATACGCGAGTCTGGGACCCCTGGAGGTCGAAAGATGTTTGGTCCGGGAGATTTAGCATGGTATCTCCCTACTGTAGACCATGACTATGTGCAGCCACTTATGCAGAGCTTGGAAACTCTAAGGGGAACTATACAAGAACTTCAAGAAGATACAACTTAGAAGGGTGGATTGGAGATTATGTGGCACTGAACGCCTCCAGATAACGCCACGAACGTGCGCGACTTGTTGGACCTATTTTCAAAATTGCAGTTCTTGGGCTGGCAGATACAGTAGCAAAATTACCGCGCTTGCACATTTATACATGGTTCGTGTTGCGTTTGATGCACCAAATCAGATGCCTGGTTTGCAGCTATTACGAGACCACGAGGCTATTTGAGAGCATGTATGTAGTTGGGCTTGATATGCCTTTTCTTATCTTGAAGAGTGCAGTAAAAGGTGGCCAGTGCACGCAAATGACGATTATAGCCTGCCAAGTCCTTGCGTTCCGCTCTGAGGGTGAAAATGTGGGATGAGGGAAGCTCTTGATTGCGTTCTATAAAACGCACAATATTGACGCCTTGCTATTGTTATGTGGCAGCCCCTAGTTCCTGAGTTGGATGTTTGCGTCATGTTTTACCATCTACAACGTTGGATGCCTAGTGAGTAAGTTACAATGGGTGAGGCTATATATAGGTAGCTGAGGTCAAAGCTCCAGTTTCAAATCTTATATTTGCCCACAGCCAAGCAACAGTCGGCGATTTTGCGATTCATTGTTGCAACTTACACAAGCTGAATGCGCCACATTTAAGAGTCTATGCTCTTCACTTTTGATACAATAGTACAATACTTACTCGTACAATGTGGTAATTTCCGTTTGAGTACAGTGACAAAGTCCTTATACGAACAGGAACGAAACTATCAAAAGTTCGTGGATCCAATCGGATGGACAAAGCGTCAGCACACTATCTGTCTAGCGTAGGACAGATCGCTATGTGGCTTGGATTGATGTCTGAGACGACGGCTTCTAGCGCAATCTGAGATAGAATTTCAGCAAAAGCATAAGCAGAGTTTCAGTGTGATACAGTAACTACATTGACTCTCCGCGTCATGTATAGAAGGTATTCACAGCAGACGAAACGAAGGCAACTGTAGCTCATTTCCAAAAACGTGTGCGATACTACATTAGTTGGGTATGAGGAGCCTAGCTGATGGAGAAGCTAGAAAAAAACGACGAGAGGAGACCCAACGGCCCCGCTCCTTGAGGTGGCATGGAACGGCGTTGGAAGCCGAGCTTGGTGACCTTCCCAACTGGATCGGGGATCCGTTGACAGGCGGAGGAAGGCATTTGTCCGAGCATTGCATTACCATTGTGATGAGTTTCTGTGCCGTGTCTCTGTGTCAGAAGTGCTTCACGCACAGACTCGCCAAGACGGGAGTCGTTGACAGCAATTTCGTCTGAGTCTTGGCTGAGTGAGAGTGAGTGAGTCAGGTATGAGAGGCATGGGGAGAATCCAACCCCATCCAGGTACCAGCCAGCACATGCAGAAGCCCATCGCCAGCTCCCTCTCAGCTTGTGCCGAATTCAAGAAGCCCTGCATAGAAGTCCCACAGAAAGCCGCCTATCCGGACATCGGGGCCTCGGCCAGCTCCAGTCTAGCGACAGAGGCGCAGGACGTGGTCGAACAGAGTTGGTAACGCGCCGCAGCCACACCGATCCAAGTAGGTAGCTGCTACAGCACAATAGTAGTAGTAGTATTCGTTTTCTGGAGATGTCCGAGCGAGAGAATACGATAAGTCGCGCCAACAAACGGAACGGGCTTTGGCTAGCTTTGACAAAGAAGAAACTATTGATGCACCGCTGGGATGGGGGGGATGTGGAGGCGAAAACCCCAGACGCGGATCCTCAGCCTCCCTTCCCGCCGCGGCTGTGACGCTTGGCTGCTACGTAATGGAATTTTTTTTCTTTCTTTCTTTCGTGGGATTCAATGGAACAATAAATAAGCCTCGTCTGTCGGCCTCTTTTCGTCTCCGCCTTTTTCTTTCCCCTTGTGTTTCTCTTTCTTGTTTGTTGTTGTTGATACCCGATATCATCGCTGCGGTACGGACACAGAGCAGGCGCATACCGATACAATCATCACCACTACCTTTTTTACTTACACAAAGTAATACTGTAAGCAAAAGCAAACAACGCCGCCAAATCAAAATGCGTGGTCTCGCCCTGTCCCTGTCCCTGCTCGCCGCCAGCTCAACGGCCGCCGCGGCTACCCAGCCGACGTGCGCAAAGGGCCTCTACATGGTCGTCGCCCGAGGCAGCGAAGAGCCCGCGGGCACCGGTGTGACGGGCAACCTCACGAGCCAGATTGCCGCAAGGGTGCCCAACAGCCAGGTCGTGCCCGTCGACTACCCGGCCACGCTCAGCGACTACGAGGACTCCGAGGGCGATGGCGTCAAGGCGATGCAGACGCTGCTCAACAACTACGGCCAGGCCTGCCCGGGCAGCAAGATTGCGATTCTGGGCTACTCTCAGGTGTGTATACTCAAGATACTGTAGTTGACTGCTTATGAGCGATGTGATGTGATGTGGTGATTTACGACAGGGGAGCGGTGACAGCTTCAACTAGTGAGCATGGACATGGGCTGATCTGATTCATATCTTGGGAACAGGGCGCGCAAGTCTCCTCTGATTCCGTCTGCGGTAGCGCCGGCGAGCCTTTCATTGACGACAAGGCCATGTCGGACGAGGTCATGAACAGCGGTGAGTTCAAGTATTTCCATCATTGGCTGGGCGCCAAGCAGCAATTGAGGGGAAATGGAAAAAGAAAAAAAAAGCTAACGAGAGACTCCCTTGTCCCCAGTCGTTGCCATTGCCATTTTCGGAGACCCAACCCATGTCGCCAATCTGACGTACGATAGAGGCACCAGCGTTAAGGACGGCGTAAGTTCGAATCGATGATTCTGACAAAGATTAAGAGGCGTGTAACTGACTCTGCGAATAGCTCTTCAACCGAAGCTCGGCGAGCGTCGACCAATGCAAAAAGTACGCCAGCCGCATCATCTCGTACTGCGACAAGGGCGACATCTACTGCGACTCCGGCAGCAACCTGACTGTCCACCACCTGTACATCGACCGCTACGGCGACGAGATTGTCGACTTTGTCGTCAGCCAGTACGAGAAGAGCACCAGCACCGGCTCCGGTTCCAATGCAACCGCCACGGCTCCCTTTCCCACGACAAAGCCCACCAGCGGCGGTGGCAGCAGCAGCAACGGCACCGCCCCAACTAGAACTGGTGCTCCTACTACCAGCCCGACCAAGGGATCTGGTGCAAATATGTTGACGAGCAGCTTGATGCTGGGAGGTCTGTTGACGGCTCTGACGGCCGTGTCTCAGATGCTGTAAGCGAGGACTATGCAATACCTAATTCAATGTTGAGCACATCAGCCAGTAATATGGAGTTATTTTGATGCCGGAGTTTTTATGCGGTGTTTCTCTTTGGTGCAATTGCACAAGAGTGTATATGAGACATGGCCCAATAATGATGAGACAATTGACAATGTGTGTAATGCAATATTCTGCTGTGCTCCGGTGACTCTGACTTGTCTCTGGCAGATGTGCGTGAGTACCCGTCTTGTGCTTTTCGATTTGTGTTTCGAGCTGTCAATGTTCGTGTATCAGCAATGTTTCTCTTGGTCAGCCATTGCATCAAAAGCGTGCATTAATAATTCTGAAGGAAGAAAGAGGAGAAGATTCTTGGAGATGAAAGGAGATCATTCCATCTTGGGTCAATAAACTTCAAGCTTGATGACTTTGATGGCTAGACCACACGCTACTTGCCCTACGGAGATCGGCCGAAGGTATCCGAGCGAACAATGGATGATTGACGCCAGAATGATTGGCTACAATGTTGATGACATGGAAGAATTACAGTAATTGGACGTACTCGTACTCGTCTGTCACAAAGAGAATCACGATTCTTCCGGCTCGGCATTTGGAATTAAGACATGTCAAATATCAGCCTAGAACCTGTCAATCCAGAATCTAGAAGAAAGATGCTGTTCAACTTCCTCATCTGGCCTCATACGCCCTCTCTCCAATCTGTCCGATCCAATCTTCCGCTCCGCATGGGCGTCAGCGGCAAACCGCGTCAAAGTGATGAGATGCAGTATAGACCAATCACGACCCGATGCAAAGCCACACCGATCGACTAAACCACTGTAACACACGATTCTCTATTATCAATCACCTCGATGAGTCTTACAGCACGCCCTATTCTGTACAGTATGCTCTGCTTTGCACCAAATTGGAAAAGAAACAACAAAACGTGCACTGGAGGTGGGGGAAAAAAGTTTAGCGGCCGTTCTCCGTGCCCGCAAGGTGAAAGCTTTTACCTCAAAAAGGCAGCCAAGGCGCAACTCGGGCGCCGCAGTAAACCGAACAAAGATCGGGGAGCCCCCCACAGTTTCCAAGAATTTGGATTTTATTCTTCTTGTTTTTTTTTTTTAATGATTCTGATTATTTTGTCGTTAATTTTCTTTGCAAATGCTTTTACTTGCTAGAAACTGACTGACTAATAGGAAGCCGGTGAGATTCCTCATTCTCACGCCCTTTCGGTGTACAATCAACCTATCGGGAAACTTCCATCATCCAGCTTCATCCAACCTTGACGAATAACAACTTCTCACCTCCCCCCTTTTGGCGTCATCTAGACTAAATCATCTTCCCCCCTCCCCTCCCCGTTATTCCCGGCCCAGAAGAACAATAGAAGGACCAACATGGCAGTTATGATTCATCCATTGGCGTCTTTGTTGCCATCTTTTGCCCCGATCCGGCCTCGACAACCGGAAAAGCCAAGGAACTCCACAACCCGCAAAAAGCGCCCATGGCTAAAGAAAGCGAACTCACGCCTCCGTACGAAGCGGAGGAGCCCACTAATCTGACGACCCCGTGTCCGATTTTTTTTCTCTTTTTTTCTGTGGTGCCTTTTTTTGCCTTGGCCGTGGAGAGTAATGTGAGGGCGTGAGAAGCTTAAAATAAGACGAGAGGAACACTTCAGGAGGAAATGAGAATGCCGTTGGGAAAAGGACCATCCATCAACCTCTTGACCCTCATCATCAATAGGAGCTGAAGTTGCTCTTCACTCAACCCCAAAATCTCCATCGGGGACACACCGAGCAAGAACGCCAAAATGGAGAACGACGAGAAAAGGGGACAGTTCAAAATGGGCCAGCCAGAGCCTCCCGCGGTCTTGGAATCCGGCGTCCTCCCCTCTGGCCGGACATCGTCAGACAACAGCCAATTCCTCGACAAAGCCGAGATCGAACGCCTAGGTCGAGCCCGTCCGGCAGTTCTCAGCTCATGGCTCACCGAAGTCCTCTTCGTCGCCACCATTGTGCTGTCCATGACCATGAGCGAGTACTTCATCGGCGGCTTCAACATCATCCTGCCCCCTGTAGCCGACGCCCTCAATATCCCCGAAAACACGCGGACATGGCCCGCCGGCGTCATCAACCTGACGACAGCAGCCTTCCTGATGCCCTTTTCACGTCTGTGCGACATCTACGGCGCCCGCTCCGTCTTCCTGTTTGGCCACATCTGGTTCATGATCTGGTCTCTCGTCTGCGGCTTCAGCCAAAACACCATCATGCTCATCATCTGCCGTGCCCTCCAGGGCGTTGGAACGTCAGCTTTCACCCCCGCCGGCCTCGCTCTCCTGGGCCAGACGTACCGTCCCGGCCCACGCAAGAACCTCGTCTTCGCCATCTGGGGTGCCTTTGCCTGCCTGGGCTTCTATTTCGGCATCTTCATGGGCGCTGTGACCGCAGACTTCATGACCTGGCGGTGGTACTTCTGGATCGGAGCCATCATCATCTTTTGCATTGCCTTTACAGGCTTCCTCACCATCCCGCGCAATCTCCATGATCAGGACGATACTATCTGCATGGATTGGTGGGGTCTCTGCACGATTGTGCCGGGCCTGATTCTCGTCGTTTTTGCCTTTACGGACGGAGGCCATGCGCCACGCGGCTGGCAGACGCCATACATCTATGTGACGTTTATCATTGGCATGCTCTTCCTCATTGCCGGTGTATACACTCAGGGCTGGGTGTCTGCTCAGCCGCTGCTCCCTGCAGACCTGTTTCGCCCCAAGTATATGAAGCGACTGTCTTTGGCTCTGTTTTGCCTGTATGGTGTGTTTGGCTTGTATCTGTTTTACTCGAGCTACTAGTGAGTCGAACCCCTTTTCTCTTTGCCTTGCCTCGTTTCACATCATCTCACTAACACGCATGATTAGCATCGAAACCGTACTCAACACGACTCCCATCCTTACCGCTGCCTGGTTCACCCCCTTGGCCATCGGAGGCGTGTGTCTCGCGGTCTGCGGCGGCTTCGTCATGCACATGATATCGAACCGTATCCTGATGATGATCTCGAGTGTGGGCTTCCTCTTGTCGGTGCTCCTGTTTGCCATCATCCCCAACCGCGTCGACGGCCACCCCTCGACCGGCTTCCTCTACTGGGCGTACATTTTCCCCGCCATGCTGTGCGGCACCATCGGTGTCGACATCACCTACAACGTCACCAACGTCTTCATCACTACGTCGATGCCCCGACGCCTCCAGGCTACCGCTGGCGGTCTCATCAACACTCTGCTGTATCTCGGCCTGGCGTTTTGGCTGGGCATTGCCGAGATGGCCGTGTCTGAGGCCGACAGGAGGAAACTACCCGAGGGACTCAGTCTGCGACAGCAGTACAAGATTGGCTTCTGGATTGGCGTTGCCATGGCCGGACTGTCGCTGATACTAGTGCTGACCATTAAGATTGACAAGGCGGCGGCTGAGTTGACAGCTGATGAAAAGGCAGCTCAGGCACAGCGCGAAGCAGTCTCAAACTAAGCTTACACAGTTTTGTCCTGCTTTTGAAGTCTCCTCTCCAACAATGAATAGTTAATCAGAAAGAAGAAAATCGGTGGATGCATTAATGGTGGAAGGGAAGCGATTGTTTGTTTTTATTTACTTGGTTTGTTTTTTCGAGCTGCATAAAGGAGCATTTGTTGGGTTTGTTATACTACGGATAGAACTGCATGATTCGGGAGATACCAGGGCAGCGCGCAATACTAGAGGGATACGGAGGATGGATTTATGCAGCATTTACGACAGAGCGTGCGGACATGGCGAGATTTGGTTTTGACTCATTTGGATAGAACATATATACATACACCTGCATATACCACGAAAACGAAGAATGACAATTTGTCCAATTCCCTTGATAAAGGAGTGTTTCTTGCTGAATAAACAGAAAAAACAAGCCTCGGTTGATGGCGGCTGATGTCTAGAAAGGGCGCATAAACCCGGGCATTTCCATCTCCACATTTGGCCTCGACGGCAGCCGGACGGCACTTGGAATCCCGGTTCCTGTCGCCCGAGCTGATCGTGACAAGGGCGCATCTTATCTCAAGTAGCCTATATGATCTGGTCTACTTCAGCTGGTATGTTTGTGATTTCGGCTTCACATGTGATGGTTGTCACGTCAAGAGTTGCCGAATCTTGACGTTCTATAAACCTCGCCAAGAACTCTCAAGCTACGTAATTCCCACAACGAGACACATTATAAGAAACAGTTCATAAAAAGCGTTTCCATAAGGAGCGCAGCGCATATAAGAAAAACAAGATCATGGGCATCTCAAGCAACCTCGTCAACCGCACCTCCTTCACCGCAGCCGACATCGTCAAGGACATCTGGACCAGCCTCCATCTCCCCCCTCACGCCCTCTCATCCCTCACTCTCCCCGGCCATCAACCCGGACCAGCCACCCCATCATCTTTCAAAATCGGGCATCTCGCACAAAGTTCAATTGCTCTATCCGCACTTACAGCATCTCTCGTCCACAGCGAACGATCTTCATCCTCCTCACCATCAACATCTATACCTCCCATTCCCCGCGTCAGCGTCCCTCTCGACCACGCCTTGATAGAATTCAAATCCGAACGTCTCTACAGCATCGACAACCAGCCCCTCGAATCCGTCTGGGGCACAATCGGCGGCCTTCACAAAACTGCAGATGGCTATGTCCGCATCCACGACAACTTCCCCAACCACGCCTTGGGGACTCTCCAGCTCCTTGGCCTCCCACCAACAGCTGCCCGCCAAGATGTCGCCGCAAAGGTAGCTCAATGGAAGAGCGTCGATCTCGAAACCGAAGCCACGGAGAAAGGAAAGCTCGCCATTTACGCTCTGCGATCATATGCTGAATGGGACGCCCTCCCTCAAGCATCAGCCATCGACGACAATCCCATTCTCATCAAACAGCTCGCCCCTGGACCTCCAAAGAAGTTGCCCGAAACTGGTTCCAGCCGTTGTCTCCAGGGCATCCGCATCCTCGAACTGAGCCGTGTCATCGCCGCCCCCGTAGCAGGCAAAACTCTCGCCGCTCACGGCGCCGACGTCTTATGGGTGACGAGCCCCAACCTGCCGAACCAGCCCGGACTAGACAGAGACCTGAGCCGCGGCAAACGCACCATCCAACTAGACATCCACAAGCCCGACGAAAAAGAGCGTCTTCTCGAGCTCCTGCGTTCTTGCGACGTCTTCATCCAGGGATACCGCCCAGGCAGCCTCGCCGCATACGGCCTCTCGCCCGAAGAGCTCCAAAAGGCAAACCCGGACATCATCTGCGCGAACCTCTCCGCCTTTGGACCGTCCGGCCCGTGGTCTCAGCGCCGGGGGTACGATTCCCTCGTGCAGACGTGTACCGGCATGAACGTCTCCGAGGCAGAGCACTTTGGGGCCGGCGAGCCCGCGCGCGTCATGCCTTGCCAGGCGCTCGACCACGCTGCTGGTTATCTTCTCGCCACGGGAATTACTGCCGCACTTCATCGAAGGGCTCAAGTTGGGGGATCGTGGGTTGTGGATGTTTCGCTGGCGGGAGTGATGAAGTATCTGCGTAGCTTGGGGCAGTATCCTGGTAAGACGGGTTTTGAGAGTCAAGATGTGCAGGCTCAGGAGGATGTGCGTGCAGACTATCTCGAGACGAGGGATACGGCGTTTGGAAGCATGAGGGCTGTAAGACATAGTGCGATTGTTGAGGGGTGCGAGGTTGGATGGGAGGAGATGCCGAAGCCGCTGGGGTCTGATGAGGCGAGATGGCTGTAGATTGAGCTGACGTAAATTAAATAGATATGTATTTGTAGTGTATACCCCATCCCCCTATTATACTGAATCTTTTACTGGCTAGATGCTGACGCTGAAAGTACACGACATTGTGGAAGTAGACAAAATCTCCTGAACTGATTTCTATCCCAACTCATGTACCCCCCTTGAATCTACCTCCACCACCGCCGGCTGTCCTTCTACTTCAGCCAGCGGCGTGTACGTCTGCTTCATCCCCATTGATTCCACTGTTCCCGAATTCACCTCTCGTCCGTCCTTCTCGACCCGTGCCATCTTCTGCTGCTTCTTCTTCCTTAACAACAGCCATACTCCAACGATACCGCCAATCAATGCAATCCCACCCAAAGAACCCCCTACCGCTGCCCCAATCGTGACCGATTTATTACTTTTGTCCGCTCCATCGTCCGTTTTCTGAGCCGCTTCATCGCTCGTTTGCTTAGCCGCACTATCGTCCGTTTGCGTCGTAGCACTCGTGTTAGCCGTACTAGAAGTATTCGTTCCATTTGTCTTCCCTGGAGTATCGTCGCCCTTGGCATCAGGATTTCGATCGAGCAAGCTAAAGCGTCGACTTCCGTCCCTACAGCAATCTCCATTATCAAAGTCCGGATTGCAGCAATACTGTCCTGAAGCGCACTGCTTCACCTGAAGCCATGAATTGGACAAGACTAAATAGAAGTAATCCTCTTAGCTTCCAAACCATTCTATCCACATCATCAACAATTCAAGGAGAGAAACTCACCATCAAGGCAAATCTGCGGACACCCCGACCAATCTGCATTCGTACATCCTCCCCTATAATCATACGCACCGACAGCATTCGTCAGATGCGTACACAGGCCATCGGGAGTGCATACATCCTGCCCTGGAATGCAGCACTGGCTCCAAGTAGTGTTCTTACCACCGCAAGGTTGGTAATTGTATGAAAAGTTTTGCTCGGGCTTGCCGTTAGGGTAGAAGCATTTCGAAGATGCCGATGGCTTGGGGGTCTTTGTCGGAGTTTTCGATGGTGTGGATGATGTTGATGCACTCGAGAGTGTCGCGAGCCAGATCGCTGTAAAGAGCAAAGAGCACCGAGCCATGGCAGCTTGGCGTTTTGATCTGATAAACAATAATCCAGATTCTATATGTACACTCTCCACTGTCAATTGAGAAGAAAAAGGAGAACAAGCAAGTTCAATGGATCAAAAGGAACAAAAAAGACAGGCCTCCATTCTCCCCTCGTGCCATCCTCGGCCTCCCCTTGTATCCCACCTGTCTCAGCCTCTCATCGACAATGAACCCATGCTTTTAGAATCCGCAAAGGATGCAAATCCCACCTCTTGCTTGGATCCAGCCGCGCGAAGAAGGCTAGCAGCTGCAAGGCCAGGCCAGTCGTATGTCAAAGAATCATGCCAAGCTGCATGATCTTGTTCCACAAAGTGGCTCGGCTTATTTACTAGCTAGCTACTCTCAAGGACGATCCTTTGTCCGTCTAATTTTAATTCATCACCCCATCCCATTTTTATAAGAAAGAGAACATGGTTGTGCTTTGCCCATTGGAAAGGGGAACTGCCTAAGAATCCAAGCATCTTGGCATCGAATCCTTCGCCCACTAAATTGACACTGTACCCAATGAAAGTAACTAACAGTGAAGAAAAGCGCCCTGTCAGAAGCCTAAAGTAACACTGCAGATCCCTCGCACTTAATTACTCCACATATAAACCTATTCTTGCTACTCAATCTGGTTCCGCCTCCGTAAAGCCTAAATCTGGTATCATATGCCGGATATCACCAAAAGAGAGTTGCAGTGGATACCCTAGAGAACGAGATCGATTAAAAGTCGTTACTATATTTCGTATATTCCATATAACGGTAACAATTGCTGCGTAATATCAATTTCGTATATCATCATGTCGTATATAATAATCTTCGCCCATCATCCTAAAAATAGCACGCTCAGTCGCAAATGGCAAACACATAAAAAACACAAACCCAAAGCCCAAAAACTTCCATCAATCACTTACCAACCTCCCTCTCAGCTCCCTCTTATTCACCAAAATACACATCACCATCATGAACCCGCCTCCCGCAACAAGCCCCGGCGAAAACTTTCCCTTCAACGCCCTCACAATCGCCAATCCCACCATCGCCAACATCACCACCAACAAGCCCACCCTCAACAACCCCTCACAGTTGAGGATATGACCCATCCTCCTCGAGGAATTCGGTTGTTGTTCTTCTTCTTCTTGTCTTTGTTCACCTGGTCCATCTTCGCCGTGTCGTGGCCATGGTTGTACGGCCAATGAAGATGGGCCTCGGCTTGTAGGCAGTAACGTGCTCGTCTCGCTGACATCCGTGTGTTCGTTCATATCTCCATCTCCATCAAGAGCCGCTAAACCCACAGACCTCTATCAGTAAATCCTAAATCCAACACAATCTTCTTTGTAAAACAAAGAGCTTTAAATGAAAAACCACATACAGGTCGATATCCACTCCCTCACCAGAGAATCACCACCACCACCGCGTCGTTCATCGTCTCCTTCGCTCATCAGGCCGTCATCGACGATGTCTCGAATCAAATTTCGCAAAAAACTCGCTTCTGTTCTTCTCAAGTCCGATAAAGAAAGAAAACAAGAAGAATATTTCCCTCCCTTTTCATAAATATTTATAGATGGTGTTTTTCCTTCTTCGAGGTCGTCATGAAAAAGGATCGACAAGGCGGGGAAACCCGCCATCCAGCCATCCAGCCATCCCCAAAAGCCTAACAAGTGTTAGGCCAGGGCGCTCTCTTAGCCTCGCCCTGGTGAAGTGAGGCTGAATTAGCCTGTCCGCATTGGGGCATTTCACACTCACGGGGAGTAGAATACAAGGCACAGAAAAGTTTGAGGCTTCCAAGTGGTATCAAAACCTCAAGATAAGCGTGCAAGCCAAATTACGCGTATACTTTGGAACTACATCGAGTTGGATTCTGTATCTCGATGGCCAACCTTGCTAACTGCTTTGTTCAACCGAGCCGACGACGTGGCCGTATAGCTCGTCCAACACAAGTCGGCCAAACGGGGTAAGGTGCGGATGCGTGGGGAGGCGCATCGCATCCACAAGTTCATCTCATGCCACACCTTGGAGAGGAACTGGAAGAGGAAGTAGTATTGAAGGCAACTTTTCTTGGTTCAGCTGCGTTGGTGGAGGGCGTATGAAAACAAGGTCGACATTCGGAGTGAGTCGATCCAGCTCAAGCGGATCCGAACGGAGCACAATCTTGACGTTACACCGAAAATACCTAGGCCCAGTCGACATGAAGATCATCCACTATCATCGAATCGTATTTCATCACTCAGCAAACAAGTCAACTCAATGTAGGCCAAAACTGTGATATTGTATCATTCAGTCCAACCCATCATGCTCCACATACTAGAGGCATGTTTTTACTATATCTTCATCCTATCCAATCACCTTTTTTCGAACTCAGGGTAAATCTTTCTGAAGACCCATTCGTTGCACTCTTCCCAAAGCCCCCTCGCGACAAACTTTTCAAGTGCCACAACTATGAAAGCTAGGTTTCGCCGCCTTTGAGCACCAAAATGTGATATAAAAAAGAGAGAGAAGAAAACTCCAAACGGAACAATATTGTGTGTAAATGACACAAAAATGATATAAACCCGAAAGAGGAAAAAAAAAGAGACGGGGGATTGAACTGAAAAATCAGGGTCGAATAGGAAAGTAGTAGACTCCTCCAATGATTACTTTAATCGCTTAGGAATGCACACCCTTCGTTCTCTCCTTCATCAGCTCACGTCGTTGCTTATCCTTTTCTGCAAATTCGTTAGTATGTCTTGATTCACAATGACGAATAGAAGCTGTGTAGCTTCGGAAAGAGAAAACTTACCAGGATCAAAGACGAGGAACTCGTGCAGAGCCGATCCAGCCGGCACCATGGGCAAGACAGGCACCTTCTTGTCGGTAACAACTTCCAAGAGAGCGGGGCCATCGGTATTGATCAGCCACTTCAGAGCATCAATAAGCTTATCGGGTTCTGCGACGCGCTGGTGCTGCACGCCCATTGCGTCAGCCAGCTTCATGAAGTCAGGATTCTTCTGGTGAGTGTGTGAGTAGCGGTCCTCGTAGAAGAGGTTCTGCCACTGAGTCACCATGCCCTGCTCCTCGTTGTTAAGGACAACAACCTTAACGCCAATGTTGAACTGCGCAGCAGTGGACAGCTCCGTCAGGGTCATGTTGAAGGAAGCGTCGCCATCAACGTCAATGACGAGAGCGTCGGGCTGAGCCACCTTGGCGCCAATGGCGGCGGGAAGGCCGTAGCCCATGGTGCCCAGACCACCAGAAGTGATCATGGATCGAGGGTGTCTCCAGCGGAAGTGCTGGGCAACCCACATCTGGTGCTGGCCTACGCCGGTGGCAATGTACGTCTTGTCCTTTCGGTCGGCCGTCAGGTTGCTAATCTCCTCCATGACAGTCTGCGGCTTGATCAGGCCAGTCCGCTCAGCTCGCTGGTAGTGCGATAGAGGGTACTTCTTCTTCCACCCCTTGATCGCGTCGAACCACTCCTTTCGGTCTTCCATGGTCTTGGCTTTTACCTGGGGAATGAGGAGCTTCATGTTGGCGCCGACATCGCCTTCCACGGCCTCGGTAGCCTGAACGACCTTGTTGATGTTCTTGGGCATAATCTCAAAGTGAATGATGCCACCACGGCCCTCAGCAGCAGCTTGCCTAGCTGCAGGCGCAAATTTTGAGACGACACCAGTAACACGGTCGTCGAATCGACTGCCGAGAGCGATGATAACATCAGCCTGCTGCATAGCCATGTTGGCATATGCTGCGCCGTGCATGCCCAGCATGTGCAACGACTTCTCATCCAGCTCGTCAAAGGCGCCCAGACCGTGAAGGGTTGTGGTGACGGGGATGGAAGCCTTGTCTGCAAGCTCCTTGAGAAGTTCAGGACCACCCTCGGACTGGATAACACCTTGACCGGCATAGATGACGGGCTTCTTGCCCATGTTGATGAGATCAGCAGCACGCTTAATGGAAGCATTAAGCTGCTGTGTGCTCAGCTCCTTGGCAGCACGGGTGGCGGCACTAGGCAGAGTCGGCAGAGCCGTGTCGGTCGGGATGGCTCTTCTCAGGATACCAGCAGTGACATCTTTGGGCAAGTCGACAAGGACGGGGCCAGGACGGCCACTAGTGGCAATCTCGAAAGCCTCGTTGATTCTTCTGGGCAGCTCAGCAACGCTCTTGACCATGACGTTCCACTTGGTACAAGCCCGTGAGATACCCACAACGTCTGCCTATTTATTTGTTAATGACATAATTTAAATTCAAAAGTCATAATATCTTTACCTCTTGAAAGGCATCGCTGCCGATTGCTGCAGTGGGCACCTGGCCGCAGAAGACGACCATGGGGGTTCCGTCTGACAGGGCATCTTGCATGGGAGTAATGACATTGGTAGCGCCAGGGCCGGAAGTCACCACGACGACACCGGGTTTGCCCGAGGCACGGGCATAGCCCTCGGCCATATGGCCGGCTCCCTGCTCATGACGGGGCAGGATAAAGTCGAAGTGTTTTGAATTGTAAATGGCGTCGAAAACTGGGAGAATAGCGCCGCCAGGGTATCCGACTATAAGGTGACTTAAGCTTAGCGAGAGTTGCTTGGCTAGAGTTATGGAGTAGATGGAGCCCGGGTGGGCGGCCGGCATCGGAACCTACAAATGTGCTTGACACCTTGGCGCAGCATCATCTCGTGGAAGATTTCGCCTCCGGATTTGCCAATGAATCTAGAGAGTAAGAGGAAGAAGAAAGAGTCAGAATAAGCTCAATTGATTTTTATGAATGCTCTCTTGATGTAATTTTTCGCCCATGTATGCATATTCGTAGCGGCGGAAAAGGTCTTCAACGTACGATTCATCCATGTCAGGCCTCTGCGGGTTGACGAGAGGCTGCACATGGCTTCGATCATTGTCTGCTGTGTTGAAGGCAGGGCTCGGGACGGGACGGACGTTTCTGTTTTGCGCGACCAATTGTCATCTTGTTAGCAAATTCCATCCAAGGAAAACAGAAGAATTTCCAATGCACGCGCCAGCAGCAAAAATCGATTGTCTGCATCTCGTCCACAATTTGGCACCCCCCGGTCATCGGCGGCAAAAAACCAAGATGTAAGAACACCTAGTCCTCGAGGCGCACAACCGAGAAAAAAAACCACAAATGCAAAGCTCACGAGAGTTTCAATGTGTAACTTACGGTGCAGCGCTCGCCGTCGCCTGGTTCCTCTGGCCAGTAGGAATCTTCTTCTGAGCGGCAGCCTTGATGGGCGTCGTCGTTGAGGTAAAGGCACGAGCCTGTCCCAGAGCCCGAACGGCTCTGGTTGTCGCCTGGCGACTTCGGAGCATCGCGAACAGAGCTATAGTAGTGGGTATCGCAGACAAGAGTCGAGTTGAAGGAAAGAAGGTTTAGGATTGAAGAATAAAAGCGAGAGTGTGCGCAGAGATGCTTTGCACGTGAGCAGACTGGGTCTCTTCTTCCTTTGCGAGGTGCAAACAATTGAGGGTATCGCGGGGAAGGAGTGGCGAAGAAGAATTAACAGGATGGAGAAGAGAAATAAGAAGAAAAGACGATTGAATCGGAAAAAGTCACTTAAGCCTGGGCCAGGTTAGAGTCAGAGGGTCCGTTCTAAGGGCGATGCCGGGCAGATCTACTAATATTTGGCAGTGATCGTACCTACCTAGTCAGACTTCGAGGGCTACTTGTCGCCAGGTAGCCTGCCGCTGTGTCGTGCAGGCAACGGTACGAAGCTAGCGGGTACTGCAATAGTTGTCCTTACTGTGCGTGGCTGTGGGGTAAGATTTCTTTTCTTCTTTTTCCTTTGTCTTATAATTTTCCAGCAAAAATAATAATTCTTTCTCCCATTGGGCCCGGAGACGCCAGGGCAGACAGAGTTCAGATGGCAGCGATTCAGAGACGGCCAGCCCGTGGTGACCAGCCAATTAGCATGCATGTGCGCGCCTAAAAGTGCGGGGCTTGGGCATTTGCCTGCGTGCTACAGAGGTCGGGTACTTCCAGCAGCACATGTGCGCCACGCCAGCCGAGTACCCCATACTTCCATTGCAATTGCCATCGGATTGCCTCGCTGCGAGCACCGTAAGCTGATCGTAATCCCGATTGCTTCTCATGTAAGTGTATACACGTATGTTCCAATGTATGTCTGGTCTTGTTCAGCACCAGCCTTTGCCCTGTCTTAGGAGCCAGCTTGCCCTACATGTAGCTCTGCCACTTGTTCCAATCTTAGCACAGCAGCAGAGACCTCCAGGCTTACGTTTCCCCCTGCGCTGTGCAAGTTTAGCGCAGTGATCAATGGGTACAGTTACCCCATCTCGCAGCCTCTGGGTTAGAGGTACCTTAGCTTCAGTGTTCCCAGTACGTTAGGTATTATCCAGGCCACTCCATAACCACGGCGTCAGTCACATCGATAGCCAAATCCAATTCAATCAATTCCATCAATCCATCCATCATAACTCTCTTTAGTCTAGCCAAATCCCAACTGCGATATACGGAGCGGCAATCCAATGCCCGTTGACTCACAAACCTCCAAGAAAAAAAGTCATGGATGTCTCTCCTAAATTCCCTTATTCCCGGAAAGCCTTCGTCCAGAGTACATGGCCTCGCGCGTGTTTAGCCCAGAGCACATGTCAACCACGGCCTCCGGTGGCGCGACCACTTCTCATGTTAGCATTAGCAGGGCAGGCTAATGCCAGGCTATTCTTGCTTATTGGACACCCGGGATTGTCTATTGGACACTCGGAGTTTGCGGGATGCAGAAGCAGCTTGTTTGAACA